TCAATTAGTAGACGACCATTTACTTATTTTTAAAATTAAAAAATTAAACCATTATTTTTAAAAGAACGAATAAATAGAAAATCTAATTATTATTTGTACAATATAATTAACCACAGTTTAAAAAAATAAATTCCTTTCAAATAAATAAAATCTCTTTTTTCAATAATTTTAAAAACTTTCATTTTCAATTTATAAAATTCTCTCAAAGAATATTTTTTTACGCAGCACTATAAAGAATAAAAATCAAAGCAACGTGTGTGACACAATATATATATTTGAAAAACGAAAGTTTCTTTATGTGACGCAAGTTTTTCTTTTTTCCTTTTGTGTAATACGGAAATCAATAAAATAGCATCAGGATTAAAGGTGAATAAAACGTATAAAGGTTTAAAGGGAATAATAAATTCTATGATTTACAGCGAGTGAAATTTCATCGATTTTTATGTAAGAGAAGTTTGTATTATGTCACACACGGCATAACACAAATTATTCTATATATTTGGAAAACCAGTTTTTTTCCTCACTTATATATTAAATATTCAATGCGTTACAAATTCTATAAATTATCGGAAATATTTGAATCGATTTTGTGAAATAGAAAATGTTTTTCAAAATATTTTATTGCTTTAAATTAAAAAAATTCTATTGGAAAATAGTTTACAAATTTTGCAAACGAGGATTTCTATGTATAAATTCCCAACATTTTTGATTGTTTTAAATTAAAAATTGTATTGGAAAAAAGAATTTGAAAATTTTTGCAAACGAGATTTAATAAATTTTTTAATTAACAAATAAATAATAAATAAACGAAAAATAATAAATAATAAAATTGTTGATAATGTATTTATAAGCCCTAGGGTGTCCGTTATTTTCCAAGTTAGCAATCAGGAGAATATTTTTTTAATAAATTTATTTTGACAAATTTTCAAATTGTTAACGTTCACGTCAACAATGTTATAACGATTCATTTGTTTTTAAAAATGCAAGGTAACAATTTGAAAATTTGCAAAAATAAATATTTAAAAAAAAATTCTCTTGATTGACAGAATGGTTTAGCCCGCTTGAAATTCATAGGAAATGTTCATAATTATTTTAAGAATTTGTAGTAAAAATTTGATAACAAATAAAGGTGGTGTTTTTGAGAAAATTGATCTTATTTATTTTCAGAAAATCATCCCCTATTTTTATAATTTTAAATATTTTTTCACAAACTGGATTGTGAAGAGGACAAGACCATCTACAAGACCCAAGAAAGAAAATTAAATTATACTCAAAAGAAAAAAAAATGACAAGCAAAACAATTTTTTTTCTATAACATGAAGTTAGTCGACCTGCCTGATTTGTAATGGATTTAGTCTACTGTGTGATTCTTGGATAGTTTATGAATTGAAATTATTGTTATGGTCCAATTGGATGCATAAAACAAGAAACTTTCAATGAAATACCGAAGAAAAATTAATTAATAAGTAGATTTAGCAAAATAATCAGAAAAATCAATAAAAATGAAATTGACCTTTTTAAAACTTGTGTAATAAATTTTTCGCGATAATATGAAAACTTCTCTATCCAAAGGAATCATAATAGAAGCAAAATCAAGCATTGTTGGTTTGTCAAAGAGTATTATAAACGAAATAAAAATTATTTTCTAAAAAGTGCAAAAACTCATGTTAGTTAAATGGGAAAATTATTGTTATTAGGCCGGGTTAAACGGCATTGTAAAAACTTTTTCTAGTTTCTAGAATTGTTTTTAGGTCAAAAAGAAACGATTTTGACGATACCCAAATGAAAATAGCTAACTTGGGAAATAACGGACACCCAAATAAGCACATTATCAATAATTAATAGAGTTCCGAGGGGGTATATACTCCCGTATTGGAGTGTACACTCTTCTTGTAATAGTCGTGTAATATCGCGTAATAGGGCGTAATAGTACGTTATTACGTGGATGTAATACCTAGAAATATCTCTGTACTCTCTAAATTTGAATTAGTGAAATTCCACTTATTGCCAGCGAATAGTCACTTTTTGAAATAGCGATAAGTATACCACTGAGAATTAGTGAATATTCGCTGATTCAACCAGTGAAAAATAATATCACTTATTGAATAAGTGAAAATTCCACTGATTTAAGTAGCGAAATTTTTTAAAAAATTTTTTTATTGAAATTTTGAATTTAAAAATTAAATTTTTGATAAAAATAATTAATCTATCGTATGATTTAAATATTACCTGAAGTATTGAATACTTTTTTAATAGAAACTTAATTTTTAATTTCTCTGCAGTAAAATTATCGATGTTTCGAATTTGAGAAAAATATTTTTTTAAAAATTAAAAATTGTTTGTAACTTATTAAAATGAACTTGTAAAAAAATTTTTCTTTAAATAAATTGAAGCGAAAAGCACGTAGTAGTGAAATAAAATTAAAGATATATTTAAAGAAAAATACAAATTTTATTTGTAAATTTACATTTATAGGAAATATAATTACTGAAATAGTGCAAAGAAATAAAAATTATATAATCGAACGAATGATGACAAGTGTTGCACTAATTATCTGAGAGATTCATGCCTTCAGTAGTTTCGTCTAATGTTAAATTAGTTAAATTTACGTGAAATGATGTAACAATGCCACGAGGTTGATTATTTACCTCGTAGACATAACTGTCCATAAAATTAAAAAAATTTTGTAAACCAATGGGATAGCATAAATTTAACGCGAAGTAAACTTTAAACAACAAATCGAAAGCATTCACTGGTTCATTGTTTGAAGGTTTGAGAAAGAAGCCATCTCCTTGGACAAAATAAGTGTTGCACCCATTTTGTCCTTTGGTGCACAAAATATATGGCTGAACAGCCGTGTTTGACTTCAAAGCCGATTCCTTGACTGAATAAGGCAAGTTAGTCCCCTCCTAAAATAAATATTTAAAAAATTATTTATTGATCCTTAATTTTTTTTCTCATTTACTAGAAATTTTTATTTTTTATGCAAAATTATTTTATGTTAATTAAAAAATGAATTTTTTAAATAAGGAAATATTTAATTTACATTTTTTGCATTACAATACTATACTAATTTTTGAAAATATTTATCCAGAAAGAAAATAATATTATTTCATTTAAACATTCAAAAAATCTGAAATAACATGTTGAATTGATTTTAAATAATATATATCATTTCAACAAAAAAACATGCACAGTAAAATATATTTATTAAGAAACGAACCTCTCAAAGTAGACAATGTTTCTTCCGAAACGCCAAACTTTCTTAACTCGTCTTCGTAATTATTTTCCTCAGTCATTGAATTTATATTTGCAGAAATTAATTATTATTTTAAACGTGTATCGAGCCCTTCCTTCTGTATAAACAATTTAAAAGTAAAGAATATTTAATCTTAGAGAGAAATAGAACAATCAAAACAAAAGATATTTGAGGTTAGGTATAGTTCTTTAGTAGTAATAAATATATAGTTAAACAAATATAGTTGCTAATAAGTTTAAAGTTAACTTACCTTATTTTATGATATTTTTCGGTGAATAATAAAATGTAATCTTTAATTATAAATCTCCTCACAAATTATCAATTTCCTCGGTTTAAACGATTCACTCACGAGTTTCACTGTCAACAAGACGCAACTAAACGACGAGAGACAGTGGATTTATGCGCAGACGCAATTTTCACTAATTCAAAAGTGGGATTCACTATTTTCCAGTGACAACTACATTCACTGATCAAATAGCGAAATTTTCACTAATTCAGAAGTGAAATTCGCTATTTTCCAGTGACAACTACATTAACTGAATCAAATAGTGAAATTTTCACTAATTCAAATTTAGAGAGTATTGCCCTGTAATACCCTGTAATACTTGGTAATAAGTGTAATTTTAGCGTAATAAGTGTATTGGAGTGTACACGTTTTCAACCAGTAAATACCCCCTCGAGAGTTCTTTAGGATTAAAATAATCATATAAATTTGTTACAAACACTTGAGTATTTAATAAAATATAAGCATTTTATTAATGAAAAATTACGAATGCTTCAGTAGTCGGACACTTTTTTCTATAGTCGGAAACATCAGTCAAACATTTTTGATTTATAAAGTAAAAAAGATAATTTTTTAATTATTTCCTGCTGGAAAATTAAATTAAAGCTTATTAGAAGTTAATAATATAATATTTATTTATAATATTTATAATTAATTATCAATAAAACTTTGTGCTACTCATTGCGCTACTCGAAAATGGTTTAGAACTGCGCAATTATTAATATTATAATAACAAATAATAGATTTACTAATATTATTATTTTTATTAGTATTACCATTATTTATTGTACTAAATAATTAATAAAATAATATAAATAATACTAAAATATAATAATGAATAATACGTCGAAATTCAAAATTTGCTTTTCTATAAATTTTCAGCGAAAAGTGAAACTTACATCCAAGAGGAAATTTATTTGCTATATTTGCCAAGCAAAATTTGTTGCAAACTTTCCTACTTATTCGCATTGCAAAATTCCTAAAAAAAATACATATACTATCTGTATACAGAAAAGAACAAAAAGAAATGCTCAAAAAATAGTATAAAACGCAAAGAAAAATTTTCGAAAATAAATCAATAATAAATCTCAAGATAATTGTTTATATGAAAATTCTCAACACTTGCACTTTCTATACAATCTCTCTTTCACAGCATCCGGAATTGATTTCTTATAAAAAGAAAGAAAATTTATATATCGAGAACATATCTATCAGATTAGATGAATACCATATCTTAATTTCCATTTTTCAAAGAAATTCCTTTTTCTCTCCACTTATAATATCGAAATTAATCTTCCTTAAACTGCATTTAATAGATAGATAGAAGTCTATTCAAAATGCTGCATCTCTATATAATAACACTCCATATATCTTATCCAAAAGGACGATCGCGCTGAGGCCACGCGCCATTCGTACATATTTATAAATATATATATAGTGGGTCATATTTTATACAATCCGGTGCCCCACGATGATACGTTCCTGATTGTAACGTAACGGAGTGTTGCATTCAAAGACCGCGGTGACGGGGCCCCCACCTGTTTCAGAAACCAAGTAAGTTGATCGGGCTGCCTACAACCAAGGGGAAATATCGTAGGCGCGGCAGTTTTCTGACGCTGCTCCTCCATCAAAGAAGCCCATGAAACAAACGGGGGCTTTCCCTTTTTTCCTCTAAAATAAATATAACAAAAATATAGAGAACCGAAATAAGAGAGAGTCAGTGTGTGTATGTGTGTGCCTTTGGTTTCTTTCATTGCCCCTAAACACGATCGATAATTTCAAAGCAACCCCCGGAAAACGCAGTTCGCGACCCCTATAAATGTTTCGCTATTAACATTTCAAAACGGAAGCGTTCAGCAGGTGAGATAATAAATACAATTTTAAAAAAGAAAAAAAAATTGTTCTACTTTTTCAAGAAAATTTCTCTTCGCCTATTGTTTGGAAATATTTGGTGCAAAACGTTTCTTTGTAAATTCTCATAAAAAAAAGAGAAGGTATTTTTATTTTTTGAAAGAAAAAAAGGAAAAAAATCACTGACGCTATAATCGCGCATTCCATACGTTGCGAATTGTGTATACGTTATGTATGCGAGGAAGGTGATTCAGTCATTTGCCATATAGTGACTACATGTGCGCGATTAATATAGTTTGATTTATTCATTTATGTCAAGAGAGAGAAAAAGAGAGAGAGAGGGCTTGATTCGCAACGTGGGCGAAATTTTGTTGATTACATGCAATTCTTGTCATTTCCGCTCGTTTCTAGAAAACTATTTTATAATATACAATGAGCAAAAGTGAAATCTTTCGCCAGGGTATGTAGAAAATGATACATTTTTCACAGAAGATGAAATTTCAAAATTATTCACTTTGAAATAAAAAAACACTGAAAAAAATGAAAAAAAAATAATGGAAAAACAGTGAAAAAAAATTGTATTTAAATAAGCAAATATTATTTGAATCAAACCATGGATTATGTGACAACTAATTTGATATTTGCCAATAGTAAACAATTGTTTATTTTATTATCAAATAATTATTTGCACTCAAAGGAAATTATTTTTATTTCAATCGAATAAACTCTATGCGAATCAATAATATTCTGTATATGAGGGAAATATAATATTCCTAAAGTGAAACACACTATTTTATTATTTTAATCAAAAATTATTTGATTAAAACACATTTTCAGATTTAAATAAAAATTATGTGATTCAAGTAAAAATTGTTCCATACAAATGAAATTTATTCGATTTATTTAATTAAAAAATATTTGATTTGAATAAAAATTATTGGATTGAAATAAACTGTTTTTGATGTAATTAAAAATTATTCCATTTAAATAATCAATTTTTTTAAACATACAAGTAAACATTTATTGATGCAAATAAAAATTATTCCTTCCAAATAAAATATTTATTTAATAATTAGAGTAATCCATTTTTTGAACCAAATAATTTTTTCCCCTTCAGTGTATTTATCGCACTATTATTGTAAAAAAAGTATCGCAAACAAATATTGCTGGTACTAAAAAATAACATTAAAAGTTGGTTAAAGTTCTAACAAAAAGATTCAAGTTTCATTTTATAGTAAAAGTCGAAGAAGAAAAAAACAATGGAAATATTGAAATTAAATTTATTTATAGTTTGCATGAATTTGCAAATTTTTGTTATTATTGGCAGGACATTGTTTTTACAAACTGATAATTGTTTACGTAAATTTTGCCAAGTGTTGAATATAAAATTTATGCTGAAATAAACAAAATAAATAAACGTTAATAATGAAAAATCATTCAGAAATATAAAATAAATATAAATTTCATGTATATAACAGATAAAAAATTAAATCTCTTAGTTTTTAATTAATTAAAAAATAACTAATTTTATAGCAAAAGAAAAAAAACTATAGGTACACTGATTCAAATAATATTTCTATTAATAATTGACTCAAAAAACTAATATAACTATTATTATTATATTTTTTATTATTACTATAAAGTAACGTAAAAGATGATTTGATTAATTATTTGTTAAATTCTTTTTTACATTGTTTCAAAATAACTATGTGTTTTTAATTAAATCAATTAAACTTGATTAATTCATTTATTAACTATAATAAGTTATCAAACGCTGGTTAGACTGTAAATAATAAGAAGAAGAATTGAAAATTAATAATAATTGTTGAATAAATAATAGTAAACAACAATTAAATGAAAAGTAAATAAAAATTAAATACTAGCAGAAATAATTTGCAAAAAATTAAAAAAACGAAAAAATTCAGATTGAAGTTAAAAACAATCATTGAAAACTGACAGAAAAAAAAATTCATTCACCGGTAAAATAATTTCCAGTCTGTTCTGAATTGTACACCTATATGGCATATATATTCGTTTTGTAAAAACAAAGTGGCCTCCATTCGTATTTCACAATCGAGAGGAGTCGAAGGTCTATATATACATGAATGCCACAATGTCCTCGTGTAAAAGGCAGGTGTGGATTGTAAATTCAAGTGCCTAGTGTTTGATTTCAAGATACAACTTCTCATGATGAATCTTATTATAATGAAAAAAAAAGAAAGAAAGAAAAAAATTTCGAAAACCGTAGTGGAACGTGACATTCGATATACAAGGTGTATCTACTTCATATACAAAAAGTAGTAACGGCAGTAACAGTCAGACAAGTACACGCTGAGATTCAATGTCAGATGATGTGCACTGTTTATTTATATGTTGATGACATTATAATTATACAATTACACTATTCACATGTGTGAAACTATATCATTTTATGTAACTATTTTCATTTTTTCATAATAAAAATACTTTCTCGTCAATATGTAATTTATTATATTTCTCAAAAATATAGAGTATATGTATATATATACACTGAAAAAAAAAAAGTATTGAACCAAGAAAATTTTTCTTGGTTGAAGTAAATCGTGGGATTGAATACGGCCAAGACTATTAAAGTATTGATTCAAGAAAACGATTTTCTTGACATAGGATATTTGGGAGAAGAACATATATTCTTGATCCAAGAAAATATGGAATTCGACCAAGAAGTTAGTCTTCTTATACGAAATATAAAATGTATTAAATGAATAAAATATTTTCTTGTTCTAAGAATATATATAGATGATTGAATTATTTTATTCGATTCATTCAATGTTTTGTAACGTTCGTTCAAGTAATTCAAGATTAAATGAAGAAAACATTTATTTTGTGAGAAGAACAGATATTCTTGATCCAAGAAAATATGGAATTCTACCAAGAAATTAAGTAGCATGTAAGAAATGCAGAATATATTAATTCAAAATCATTTATGTATCAAATCAAGAAAGTATGTTCTCTGTCCGAGAAAATATTTTCTTGATTTGAGAAAATTTATAGTTTTCAATCAAAAAAATACTTTCTCAATACAAGTAAATTATTTACTTAAATTACCCCCCCCCCCCCCCTTACCTCCATCCCATCTTTTCTAATACTTAGGTCAAACATTTTTATTATTTAATTAATTAACATTTATATTTTTTATTTAAATAATTAAATAATTATTATTTTACATATATATTTACATTTAATTAATACTTAACACAAATACAACAAATATACCTTGAAAGAAAATTTTCCACGGTCGGAGGAATTGAACTCGGGTTGCACGCACCAGAAGCCGTCACGCTACCACTATGCCATCCTAGCCTCAATGGACAGTTTTCAAAAACTGATATTTAAGTTGCATATACATTTGAAGAAAAATATTTTCTTGGATCAAGAACACCGGCATTGTGTTAAGTAAAAAAAAGTTTCAAAGCAAATAAATAAAATGATTCGATTCAAGAAACATGAATTCTCCAGACAATACTTTATTATTTCGCTTAAGAACATATATTCTAGATTCAATACTTTTTGGTACTTCGGAAAAGTAAAATATTTGGTTGAAATAATTACATATTTAGTTCCGCCAAATACTACATTCTTAATTCAAGAATTCTGTTCAATGCTAATAATTACTTGACACAAGAAAATGAATTTCTTTCTTCAAATAAATATGGGATTAATAGAATATAATTTTTAATCGACTTGAAACAAATATTTACTTATATTAAGATCTTACACTTAATTGAATTGAATAAATAAAATATTTCATTCCAGAAAATATAACATTCTCGCAAGAAATTAATGATTTTGAAACATGAGAATATAGAAATGCTTCAAGTAAAAGAAATGCTTAGATTAATTAATATTTCTTTGAAACAAAATAATTTTTAATTGAGTTGAAACAATTATTAACTTGTATTAATCTTCCCATTTTCTTGGCTCAAGACTATGGGTGTTGGATGAAATAAATAGTTGCTTTAAAGGAAATAAAAAAATTATTTGACTCAAGATACCAAATGACTCAAGGTAAATTACTTGACGTGAGAACATGATATTCTTGATTCAATACTTTTTCGAGACTTGGCGCATGTAAAACAGTTCGTTTGAAACAGTAAGATATTTACTTATGTCAAACCCATATTTTCTTATTCCAATAACTTTGATCAATGCTCAAAATTACTTGACACAAGAAAATAAATTTCTTCCAATAAGAAAATATGGGTTTGTTTCAAGTAAATCAGGTCAAGAAAATGCATTTACTTGATTCAATGAACTTTTTTTTTCAGTGTATATATAATAAATCTCCCGTTAGTTTCCATTATTTTTTTATTTTATTCCACTTTACTCTTCAATGCATTTTATGGACAAAGTTTAAGGAAGGCTTTTAAAACTATTATTTTTAAGAGTATCATTAAATATTTGAATATTTAAATATTTTACCTTTAATAATAGTTATTTATATTTTATTATCAATAAAATTTTTACTTTATGAAAGAGGAATTCATTGACGAATAAGAAAGTATTTGAAAATTTGAAAGTGTTAATTATATGGTGAAAAATTGTTCAGTATTAAAATTCGTAAACATTTTTACTAACTTTTGGACATTTTTTGTACACAAAAAGTCTCTCTAAATTTGAATTCGTAAAAATGTTTATTAATTTAAATTATAGTGATTGACTTTTTGCTTTTGAACTAGTAAATTTTACTAATAAATAGTAATTTCTACACTGAAAAAAAAATTTATTTGATTCAAATAACCGATTAATGGACTATTATCAATTAAATATTTAATTGAATCAAATAATATTTATTGGAGTCAATTAAATGATATTTGCTTCAAATACTGAAATTGTTAGTTCAAATACCATTTAAATATTTAATTGACTCCAATAAATATTATTTGATTCAAGTAAATATTTAATTGATAATTGTCAATTAATTGGTTATTTAAATCAAATAAATTTTTTTTCAGTGTACTAATTTATTAGTAAAATTCACTATAATTCAAAAAGCAAAAAGTTAATATTTTCTTATTAATATTAAGTAGGGCTTAATTCAACTCCAAATAGATTAATTAATAAATTAATCAATGTTTGGATTAATTTTTTTCATGAAAAAATCTAAATCAAAACCAAATTATTTTTAAAACATTTTGAAAAAATAATCCTTCGATAAATTATTTTAATCCTTAATGGATTAAAGCGTTACAGATTATTTTAATCCATTTTGGTGTTAAAATAAAATACCCCAAAATTTTCTGCGATAAAAAAGAATATATGACGCGCTCCCAAGAAAGATACCTATAAAGGAAACGAATTTTAGGTTTTATGTTTGTTGTATATTTATCTTGATTAAAAGTTCATTTCTAATTATGTCAATTTGAAACCAGTTTTTATTGAATATTTTTTATGTATAAAGAATAATTGAATATCAATCATTTGTAATAGTAAGTGATTCTCATTCTGTATTTTTATTTCCAAAATTATAAAATATAAACAGAACCTACAATGTTGTACTTCTTAGGTATACCTTTCTTGGGAAAGCCTCGCATATTTTTAAATTCTTTAACAAAATCAGTAGTAATAATAACAATAATTATAGTTACAATAAATATTGTCTGTAAAAACGAAAATATATTAAATACTTTCTGTAAAACAAAAAATAGTTTTAAAAACAATTTAAAAACGAATTTTAAAAACAGCACAAAAATTAAAGATAAAATTGCAATAAAATTTATCCAACATTTAAAATGCACATTGAGATTGATATAGTACTATTGTTTTACGTTTTATTTTCTGAAATGTTTTCATAATGCACGCAACATATCACGAGAATTTCCGTTTGTTTTTTAATAACATACATTATATTCACAAGACAAACAATTAATTATCATAAAAATGTCACGTAACGTTACTTTTGTTCATAAATTCAAAAATTGATATCGCTTTCAGGTATGATAGATAAGAAATTCACTTTTGAAATAGTAAAATTTACGTAGGCAGTATATTCTTATGTGCACACCAGTAAGTATAAAGTTCTTAAATGTAGCTTTCTCTCGCATTTATGCGTTTACAAGTGTGTGTTCTGCCATGTACAATGAAATCTGAGTGTATATCACGTGTGTGTAAAAATAAAAAGAAAAAGAAAAACTTTGTGATAAATGAGGCCACTAAAATACAAAATATTTCCATCGGGGAATGTCAATAAAAAATTGTTTGTTTCAAAAACAATAACAATTTGTCTTAATAACACAATCATTCATTTTAAGACAGACAACATATTATCAATTTTTCATTATGCTATAATGATTTTAATGATTTCTTGCAGTCTCAGTTCTTTAATAATATTGCACTGGAAAAACTGCACTTGATTCAAATAAACGATTATACTTGCACGGAGGAAAGAGATTGTTATTGTGACAATCGGATTGTTAATATATAGAACTATTTGTTTTGTTGTTCTAACAATTTAGATTCGTTTAAAACAATACTTCGTTTAACAATAAATCTGTTTAGGCAATAAAAAATTTTGTAACAACAAAAGAAATTTTTTAGATCTATTTTAACAATTCTTTTTTCTCGTGTGTTTATTGTTAAATAAATATTTATTTCTACTAAATAATATTTCATTAATCCAATTAAATTGTATTTTTCTCGAAAACTAAAATTATTGGTTTAAATAATATATTTCAATTAAATGAAAATTATTTGTTAAGTAAATATTTATATTACAATAGACAAGTATAATTGCTTATTTGAATCAAATAAATTTTTTTCAATGTAAAAAGAAGTTATAATAAATCAAAATAAATATTGCAAAAATTCTACCACATACAATTTTGCAACCGGTAAACACTATTTTAATGTTTCGTAAAAAATAAATATTTTAAATAATAACCGGAACTCGAGAGATGAAAAAGTTAAAATATGTGTCATGAAGAAAAAGAAACTGAATTGAAAAACAAAATAAATGATATCTAAATGCATTTTAAGAAGTGTAATTAAGAGGTTTTTTCAAGATTACGAAATCAACGACCTTTTGAATCAGCCAAATGAATATTATTTAACCTTCACATTCTAGGCTAATTATTCAATTAGTATCCATCAAATTATCTTATTTTATTTGTTCCATTGTCGCTGTAAAATCTCCGTTTTATGTAAGAAAATGCGAAACTCAGATTTTTATTACATTATTTATATAAATTCAAAGAAAATTTATTTACCAAATTGGGGAAAATTACTATAATTGTTTTATAATAGTGTAAAAAATAAAATAACTCATAAAAAAACTTCGAAAAAGATAACTACGAGTAATTAAAAAATAACTCGTAATATATAATAAAATTTAAATGCAGAGAAGATGTTTATTTTGGTAAAGTAATGTGTATTTATATCAAGTAAAGTATATTTGACTCAAGTAAAATGTATTTGACTCAAGTAAAGTGTATTTGACTCAAAGAAAGTGTAATTGAATCAAATAAAGTTTATTTGAATTAAAAGAATATATTTAATTACAGGGTTGTCACAAAAATTAAATTTTGTTCTTCCTTGACTTTTCCCTGATTTCCAGACAAAATTTTGACTTTTTGCATGACCCTAAAAAATATTCTGATTCACTCTAAAAATGAATAGATACTCAAAAAAATTTTCTAAAACATTTCTTTACGAATTATTTTAATTGTAAAATTATTCGAAAACATCAATAGTTTTATTTAAAATAAATATTATAAGAATAATATATAAAAAGAAAGAATAAATTTTATTTTGAATTCCGTGTAAGAATCTTAAATAAATAAATAAATAATTATTTTTCCATAAGAATTAAGATTTTCAAAAATTCCAAATTCAAAACCTCTTTGAAATTCAACAACTTATAAGAATATTATTATAAAACATGAAGAAATCGATTCAATTATTTCTAAAAATTCACGCTATAATGCTTTTAATATTCAATTATTTATTATCTAAAATTTTAACTGAAATTCATTTTTAAATCAATTTTTATTAGAAAATTCTACGAGAATTCAATTATTTGAATATAAAAAAATAAATAATTTATTGACTAATTGAATGTTTCTCAAAATTGAATTCTCATAAAGAATATTATAAACAAATACTTAAAATCCTAAAAAGAATTTCATTAATTTATGAAAATAATGGAATTATTGCGAATAAATTTATAAAAAATTTGCAAATAATTGAATTCGTGTGAGATTTTTATTATTTAAGAAAATATTAAAATATTTTCATTGAATTGAGGAGAATTTTGAAAATAATTGAATTTCTGCGAAGAAATTTATTACTTTTGAAAATAACTGGATTTTTGTAAACATTTGTAACTTCTCCAAAATTCAATTTTTTTAGTGTTTTTAACTAAAATTCTTCTATAAATCCATTATTTTTAATAATTAATTAAATATGTATTAAAGAATTTAACTATTTTCGGAAGAATTTGAATTTATTAAAATTTTTCAAAACTCTAAGTTCTTTAAAATTTTTAATTAAATTCATTCAAAATCGAAATTTTATTTATTTATTTTTTTCAATTTCAATTTGAAACCTTTTGAAGTTCATCTATTTATGAAAAGTGTAAAAGTAACTTTTTTAAAATTTAATTATTTTGAAATATTTAAGTAAATTATTCATTAATTAATAATTTATTATATATATATAAGAAATAATTTTATGATAGTTCTTCAAGAATTAAATTATTTAAAATAAATTATTGTGAGAAATAGAAAAAAATTTATGGTTTTGTATTACAATATTCCTGGTAATTTCATAGTTTATGAGGCAAACAAAAAGACACCAAAATTCAGAATTTTCTTATAAATTCTAAAAATTTAATCTCTGACTACAAAAATCCCTGACCAATTCTACTTTCCCTGAATTCCCTGACCTCTGGCAACCCTGAATTAGATAATAAATTAATTAATTACATAAAGATTATGTTAATTAAAAAATTATTTAATATTAAATTATTTTTAATCTTATCAGTTTTTCTTAATTATTAATCATCGTTTCTTTTCTTTTGAAGGTCCAGGAACGATTGGAGGATCCTCCAGCACCTCTAGAGCCAATTTGCTCTGACATTTGTGACATTGTTGATGAGATACGTCACAAATATCTCTATTCATATAAATCAAACGAAAGGGAATTAAATGCCCTATTAAAAAATCTACATCTCAAAGCACTATTGGAGACACACGACGCAATAGCAAAACTTCGCGATTCACCGCAAAGTCCAAATCCACGATTTTCAATAATGCCAGCTGACGAAAGAACGGAAGCTGTCCGAATGGTTGGACTGAGAAGGCAGCCCGACGAACCATTGGTAAATTTTTCTCATGTCATCATATCTCTCCTCTACACTATTTTTGTTTATTGTTACAAGAAAATGATGTAAAAATAAATCAAAATAACGTGTTTGTGTGTGTTTTTCAAAAAATCAAAAATATTTATATTTATATCTCATTCACGAATCTCGCGTGTGTCATTAAAAAATTCAACTTCCGGCATGCATTGTTTACAAAATTGAAACCTCGAAATTTGACGCATTATTTATCGCTCCAATTATAAACAGTTTGAAAACCTATCTTTGAAAATTCCTGTTTATAATTTATCTCAAACTCGACAGTTAAGGCGGGAAAATGTACTTTTTATTATGGTATATAAAATACGTAATTCAAGTTTTTCGGTTGTTGAATTTTTTTTATTCTATAATATATGTTAGTATACTAATTAAATTATAATATAATTAATTTTAATAATTATATAAAATTATGCAATTACATGTAATATGATATAATAATTCAGATAGCACGTGATCTTCAGCAAGCCTGAGGCAAAATTGCTCCATATAATCTTTACATACCATTATAAATTATCTATATTAATAATCGTTGTACATACATATTTATAATAATTACCAAATTTTTATTAAATTTTTAATTGTATGTTAAATTTATTAAATTAATTTAATGTCAAATGTTTAAAAATTTGATAAAAAATATAAATTCCAGAAAAAATTCTGGTTAGAGAATTGTTTTAATTTTAATTATATTAATTAATTTAAAATTCATGAAATTATACTTTAAAAACAACAAAAAATTTCTTTTATCTATTTAAAATATATATGAATTGAAGAAAAATGTTAATTTTCAGGGACTGACAGTTCAAGTAGACGAGTCGGGAAATTTAATAATCGCCAGGATATTGGGCGGAAGTACAGCAGCAAAACAAGGTCTTCTGAGGATAGGCGAAGTTATTCTTGAAGTTAATGGAAAAGCAGTTCATACACCAGATGAACTTCAACAGGCCATAATGGAAGCCAATGACAACCTCTCACTAAAATTGGCTCCAGGAATCGCGTCAGAGGGAAATAAACCCGCGAGATCAACAGTCAGTATTCAATTTTTTAATAATTATATAATTCTTCACTGAGAAAACATTAAAAAATAATATAGTAGAAAACAAAACAATGGGAAATAATACTTCCTAATAAATGAAAAAAATAAATTAAAGAATAAAGTAAAAAATATTCTAAAAAAAGTAAACTAATAAATAATAAAATAATTTGACAGAAATATTTCGGGTCGAATTTAAAAGTTCATCAATCACAATTATTTTCTTGATAATTTCTGATAGGTCAATTTTTAAATTCGCTCCTAAATATTTTTGTTAAATATTGATATTCGGTCAAATTGAATTCCAGGAAAATTTATATTCAAACAAATATGTTCATTTTGATAAAGTAAATTTCTATTAAAATTTTTTTCTGCAATATTAAGAGTATAAAATTGACATTCCACTAAATTAAAATTCTACAAAAAAATGTCTCGCATAAATTGATATTTGATCAAATTAAATTTCTGGCAAATTAAAATTCAATCAAATTGACTTTCTGGCAAATTAATATTCTGCTGATTAAAATACTATCAAATAAAACTTTTGAAAAATTTGCTTTAATAGAGGCTATAATGCTATAATGCTTTTAATATTCAATTATTTATTATCTAAAATTTTAACTGAAATTCATTTTTAAATCAATTTTTATTAGAAAATTTTACGAGAATTCAATTATTTGAATATAAAAAAATAAATAATTTATTGACTAATTGAATGTTTCTCAAAATTGAATTCTCATAAAGAATATTATAAACAAATACTTAAAATCCTAAAAAGAATTTCATTATTTATGTAAATAATGGAATTATTGCGAATAAATTTATAAAAAATTTGCAAATAATTCAATTCGTGTGAAATTTTTGTTATTTAAGAAAATATTAAAATATTTTCATTGAATTGAGGAAAATTTTGAAAATAATTGAATTTTTGTGAAGAACTTTATGACTTTTGAAAATAATTCAAAATTCAATTTTTAAGTGTTTTTAACTAAAATTCTTCTATAAATCTATTATTTTTAATAATTAATTAAAATATATATTAAAAAATTCACTAGTTTCTGAAGAATTTGAATTATTAAAATTATTCAAAAATCTAAGTTGTTTAAAATTTCTAATTATATTCACTAAAAATTGAAATTTTTTAAAATTTCAAATTAAAACCTTTTGCAGTTCATCTATTTATATGAAAATTGTAAACGCAACTCTCTTAAAATTCAATTCATTTTGAAATATTTAAGTAATTCATTACCTATTCATTAAATAATTATATGATAGTTCTTCAAGAATTAAGTTATTTAAAAAGAAATTATTGTCAGAAATAAAAAATTTGAAAAAGTATTAGAATTTGTGGTAATTTTATAGTTTATGAGGTAAACAAAGAAGACACAAAAATTCAGAATTTTTTTATAAATTCTAAAAACCAACCCTGTCTAAGAAGAAGTAGAATAATAAAAATTGAAAGAATAATATAATACAAAAATAATAATACACAGAAAAAAAGTTTTACTTGGAACAGCGAAAAATTCCTTTGGAATAGCGAAAGTTTCAACTGTAAAAGTTACAAATTTCGCTAATATTATGAAATATGTAAAATTTCATAATGCATAATGCATAATGAAGGATTAAATAATATATTTTACAAATTTCAAATTATATTAAAAGTTTTCTAAATTATTTGCAGTGCTACATGAGGGCCTTGTTCGACTACTATCCACAGGAAGATACATTGCTTCCTTGCATGGAAATAGGACTCGCATTTCAGAAAGGTGACATTCTCCAAATCGTTGATCAGGCCGATCCAAATTGGTGGCAAGCGAGAAGAGTTGAGGGCGAAGGTGTAGGACCACCGGGACTTATTCCATCGCTTGAACTTGAAGAGAGACGAAAAGCATTTGTACCGCCGGAAGCTGATTTTGTTCATAAAATCAGTATTTGCGGAACGAGAATTTCAAAGAAGAAAAAACGCAAGATGTACGAATCAAAAGCAAATGGAGAATTTGATGGAGCTGAATTACTTCTCTATGAGGAAGTCGCGAGAATGCCGCCATTCAGGCGTAAAACTCTCGCTCTAGTCGGACCGCGTGGCGTTGGAAGAAGAACTTTGAAAAATAGGCTAATCAACAGTGATCCTGAAAAGTTTGGCACAATTGTACCTTGTAAGTTTCAAGTTTTTCCTCAATTTTTTAACCCCAATAAGAACGATAATTTTGTTTTATGTTCAAATATTTTTTTTTAAACTTAATAGAATTTTTTAGCCGATTTTCTGTAGTTTATTTAAATTTCCATTTTCCAAAAAATATCCAGAGAAAATAAAAGAAAGAAAATATTACACAAAAAATAAATGAACAAGCATAAAATTACTTGCAGATACATCTCGACAACCTCGAGTACTGGAAGAAAGTGGAAAAAGCTACTGGTTCACTGATCGAGAGGGAATGGAAATTGACATCAGGGAACACAGATATCTGGAGCATGGCGAACATGGTGGTCATTTATACGGAACAAAATTAGATTCAGTACGAGATTTAATAAGAGCGGGAAAAATGTGCGTTTTGGATTGCAGTCCAGCAGCACTAAAAATTCTTCACAACAGTACAGAATTTATGCCATACGTTATATTTGTCGCCGCTCCTGGTATGGAGCAACTCAAAAGTTTATACGATCTTGGAAGATCAACTGGAGCCAGTAATCGCAATTTAACGGTAAATTTTTTTCTCCTTAAGAGCATTTTCCCTCTCTTGATGTTTAATGTTTTGAAAATGAAACCATTAGAGAAAATAGTACTACCGAGTATGTCCCACTAGTCGTGTATTTTTTAAGATTTCTTTTATCATAATGTAAATTAATTTTCAAAAATAGTTTAATATTGTAGACTTGGAGTAAAATTATTAGTTTACTTAAACAGATTCAAGCAAATAATTTTTTTTATAATTGTTGTTAAAAAAAAGTGGACAGTAACTGGGGTATCCACGATACAAAGAAAAAATATTTCTCAATCGTTACCAAGTCCCTGAGGTTATAGCGTCAACGCTGAGCGCCGAAAAGAATTTTCTTCCACTAACAGAAAAGAATAAAACATTTTTTTCAAAGAATTTAGATTAAAAATGTGCTTAGGAAAAGTTTTAACTCCCCAGGTTAATAAAAGAGGTGAAATTACAGGGTTGCTACAGGTCAGGGAATTCAGAGGAATTTTTAAAATTCATGAGATAACTTTGAATTTTTATGTTTTGTTGTTTGTCTCCTAAACTATGAAATTATCACGAATTTTAATACTTTTTCAATTTTCTATTTCTGACAATAATTTCTTTTTAAATAACTTAATTTTTCAAGAACTATGATAAAATTATGACTTATAAATTATTTAATGAATAATTTTTACAATTTTCATAAATACTAGATTGATAGAAGAATTTTAGTTAAAAATACTAAAAAAAAATTGAATTTTGGAAAAGTTACAAATGATTCTAGAAATTCAATTATTTTCAATTATTTTTAAAAATTTTAATAAAATTCTTCGCAAGAATTCAATTATTTTTATAAACTTGATTAAAATTCGTTCTAAGAATTCAATTATTTATAAAAATAATAAAATTCTTCGCAGAAATTCAATTATGTTCAAAAATTTTAAAAAAATTCTTGTCAAAATTTCAATTGTCTTTATAAATAATAAAATTCTTCTCCGAAATTCAATTATTTTAGAAAAATTTTAATAAAATTCTTGGGAAAATTTTAACTATTTTCATAAATAATAAAACTCATCGCAGTATTTTAATTATTTTTTATACAATATTTTAATCGAATTCCTCAAAAAATCTAATTATTCTTAAAAATTTTATTAAAATTTGTCAAAAGAATTTAATTATTTAAAAATTTGTTCATAAAATTCTTTATGAGAAATCAATTTTAACAAACATTCAATTATTCAATAAATTATTTATTTTTTAATTTAAATAATTGAATTCTTCTAGAATTTTTTAATAAAAATCGATTCAAACATGAATTACCGAATAATCGATTTATTATTTATGAAAATAATTTAATTATTGCAACGAATTTTATTACATTCTTTTTAAGTAATTGAATTTTTTTGAGAAAATTTACTACTTGTAAAAATAATTGAATTCTTGCAAAGGATTTTATTAGGATTTTTGTAAATAATTAATTTTTTTTTGAAAAATGTTATGGTAATTTAAATTTATTACAAAACATAAATATCACTCCAAGTCAAAGACTCGGGGCGATCGCCTTTTTCATGTTTTGTAATAATACCTATTCTATCAACATTTTTTTGAGTATCTAATCATTTTTAGAGTGAATCAGAATATTCTTTAGGGTCAGGGAAAAAGTGAAAATTTTTTCTGGAAATCAGGGAAAAATAAAGTTAAATATTTGTGGCAACCCTGAATTAGTAAAATTTTCATCACTAAAAACCTTAAACAGTAGTGTTTAATGCTGATCGTCGACGCTAACTTCAGGGACATCCAAAGGAATTGTGAGGTATAAAAAAATAAAAAGCTAGTTAATTGTGAATAATTATTAAGCAGAAGAAATCTAAAGCTCCTAAATTTTTTTTTGCTAGCTATTGTCATTATATTGTACATTCCGATTAGATGCATGTTTCTTTTTTACTTTGAAAGTATCGATAGAATATTCCATATCGTGACCTGTTTTCTACGTACAGTAACTTTTCAAATTTGATGTAATTTTTATTTTTTTTGTTTCAAAAATAGTTATGAGATCGTTATTGCCCTTGAGAAAAAATAGTGTATTTTTATATTTTGAATTGTATTATTATCTGTTGAATGCTTTTAATTATCGTTTGTGTTTGATTATGGCTTTATTAGTTCGACCGACAGAGCTCCATCAGGTACAGTTCCAGAAGAGCGAGAACTTTGGAATCACTCGCCTCATTGTACGAGGTATGTTTTCGCACGTTTCTATTTATCATTGACGCTATGAAATCGAAAATTGTATAAAAATTAAAAATAGAAGAAAACCCTACTAATTTTAGTGCTGCATTTAAAGAATGTAAAGTAGCATTCATATTTTTATTTCTATTCTTTCTTTACAGCAAAAACATTTTTCATCTTACGAACTTTTTTGTTTTCGATTTTTCTTTCAGAAAATGAAAAAATCAAAGTTTTTTCATTTATTTTCTAATATTAATTTATTTTCTATTTACCAAACGACAATATACAGGGATCACAGTGATTTTTCATTTAGGTAAAAAAGGGATTTTATTTTTCAAAATGGGGATTCAGTTTAAAAAAAGAGGAATTTTCAAATTAAGTAAAAAGAAGGGTCTGCGGTCTAAACCTGTTAAGCGCCACTTTTTTCGAAATTGATTTTATTGCATTTTTTGATAGTTCTAAAATATGCCGTTAATATGCCGTAAAGAAAACTCGAAAATATTGTTTAGTTTTTTTTCTATTAATTTTTGAAAATCGCGTTTCGCTATGAGCGGCATCTGCGGTCTAAACCTGTTATCGACACATAGCGTCCTATGGAGAAAACCTGTTTCTTCTCACATCTGCTCGGTTAGTTCGTTCAATAGAGCAATAGGCCTGTTTTCATTGTGTAGAAAGTGAGGTGTATGTCTTGGTCGAAACTCTGTTGGACGCCATCTTCAAAAATATTCGGCAGTTTCCGACAGTTTCGTCCGCTTGTGTTTAAGCAGACGAAGTTAAACCACGTGTCTCGACTTTACAAGGTAATTAAACTTTTTCAATAAACAATAATAAAATTTTGCAAGTGGATCTAAAATGTACATGTAATTCCGAACATTTTGATGTATTAAAACTGTTTGTAGCTTGTATGAGAGCGGAGAAAAATGCGCGAACGTGAAAAAAATCGACGGCGTCATTCCAAAGGTGAGGAATACACTACGGCAAAGGGGAAGAAAATCCATGCGTTGAAAAAGCCTTCTGTCAAGGTAAGCATTGTATACATAATTTGTTGACAATTTTTCAACTTGCAATTTTTAAATTCTCTGTATACTGTAAAAATTAGGAGTTAAATTTTGGGAGTTAATTATCAAGTCCAAAACCTTAACTAAACTTACTGTCATAACCTCAAACTGTCAAAACACTTCGCTCTGTTAATTTATTTAATTTATTGATATGTTTTAATCGTACTTTATATAACATTTAACTTAATAAATAAATTTTTCTTTTTTAAACATTACTAACTTTTAACAAGTTTTCTTAACTCTATTTTCTTTAACTTGGAAAAAATGTGACTTTTATAGAATTTATTCTTTTTGGACTTAATTTTTAACTCTCTTTTTTTCAGTGTAATGTGATTAAAAATAGTGGCTTTTGAAATTTTAACGAGGACGCTCCTCATTTCGTAGTTTAATTTATTAGAATAAGTTTTTTAATGAAACTGACATCGGGAACTTTTTCTCGATGAAAAGAGACGTATAAAATTATTTTTTAAAAATTATATTAATGTTCGTTTCCAGTTGACATGCAGGTGTAAATGGAACTGCTCAGTTCTTTCTCATAAACAACGGACGCTTCTCTTCAATCAATATCGGTCATTGGATAGAAATTCACAGCGATCTTATCTTTCTAATCTCATCGATGTCGTTAACTCTCAGAGATCGAGAACTTCGGGGCCTAGTCGACGTCAAGTTACAACCCTTTACCGACTCCGTGATGAAGAGGGGACGGCTGTTTCTGTTTGTAAAAGTACTTTTCAAGACACTTTTGGACTTGGCAGAGGAGAATTAGACGTCTTGCGAGAAAAAACGAAACTGGGAAAAGACATTACGAAAGACAAACGCGGTGGCCGTTACAACGTCAAGTATACCACTTCGGACCGTGACTTGATTGTAGATTTTATTAAGTTGTTTCCAAGAGACACCAGTCATTATGGTCGAAAAGACTCCAACAAGGAATACCTCAGCTCGGATCTCTCTTACCAAAAGTTATTCGATGAATTCACGCAGAAAAATTCTGAGAAAGAAATATCTCTTGAATATTTCGTTCGCATATTCAAAGAAAATTTCCCCAATCTCAGTTTTCATTCGCCTCGAGTAGACACCTGCAACACGTGCGACAAAACGGCTATACGTGAACTGAGTTTACCCCAACTCTCGAAAGAAAAAAAAGCAGATATACGAAAAATTTTAGACATGCTGCCAGCAGACAAAAAAGCTTTTTTTGAAAAACTTTTGTAAAACTTACTTTTCTATTTTAATATATTTTTAAACTTTTTGTACAAAGAATTTATTATTTTATTTGTATTATTGGTAATAGTAAAAATATAATATCCTAAAATGTCCCGGAAATGTTTTTTTTTATTAATTAATATTTAACTGTCAAAAGTATCAAACTCTTCCAACGATTGCACTAACTTTCAAAAAAGAAACAAATTAGAACATGGCGCATAACAGGTTTAGACCGCAGGACCCCCCTGCTGATAACATATGTATAGCTTTAGAGTGTCGTACAATCGTTAATTTTAAATTTAGAAAATCGAAACTTTAGAATATCATAGATATCCACTAACTGAACGAAAAACTCTTTGAATTTAAAAGAATTAACAACAACTGTAAAAATGAAAACGTTTTTTCTCCATCCTGAAAAATTTGTGAAATGGCGCTTAACAGGTTTAGACCGCAGACCCTTCTATTGTATTATAGAGCTTAAAATTTATTTTGAAGAATTTTTTACTTTTTCTTTTAACTTCAGCTTTTTTAAATCAAAATATTTTTTTGTTAAACTTTTCCTGTTACTTATTAATATTTTTATCTTTTTGTAGTCCGTAACTGTCTTTAAATTTTCAATCAGAATTTTTTTTTATTTATTAAGAATGTTCCTAGGGCTGAAGAGCCCTTTAAGGTACAAATTACAAGTCATTTGCTTTAATACAATTATATAATAATATTAAGAATATAACTGATTATTGTATGTGTATATATATGTATATCTAAGTTATTTACATACAATCAATTATTTGAGAAAAAAAAATATTAAAATCAATAGTTTACCAATATGTAATATAAAATATTATGCTATTATTTTTAAATAGAAAATTAAAAAAATGTTTCTTAAAGGCGAATTGTGTAGATAAATTTCTAATTGAAGTTGGCAGTTTATTCCACAATCTTGCTCCTCTTATAATAAAAGATCTTTGCATTTTACATGTTCTATGTTTTGGTATTGCTAGAGGAGATTTACTTTCTCGGAGCCTGCGTTGAGATTCCTTATAGTTAGTCTTAAATTCAAAAAATTCGTATAAGTAAATGGGAATCTTATTACTGAAAATATTAAATAATAAATTTCCAATAAAATATTGTCTTCTCATTGCAACATTGAGAAGCCCAGATTTGATTCTATATTGTGTGATATGCTCATGTTTAGGTAAACCAAATATAAAACGAATGCAAGCATTCAACGCCCTCTCCAATTTGTTATTCAGTTCATCAGTTAAATCATCGTATACGGGACAGCAATAATCAAAAAAGGGAAGAACGAGGGCTTTTATTAGCAGTAATCGTGTTGAGGTAGAAAGGGACTCTTTTTTTCTATTGAGTTGCTGCAGGACCATAAAAGTTTTGCGTGATATATTAGCAACATGTTCGCTCCATGACAAGGATCTATCCAAGGTCTTTAACTACATTTTTGTATGTGATGGGAATTCCCCCCACTGTAAGGGGAGAAGTTGACATCAATACATCATTCTTAGGAAAACCAGACATAGTAGCCACCATGGCCTGAGTCTTATCAGAGTTGAGAGTAAGGTCGTTATCATTCGCCCATTTCACAACGTGATCAATATCTGTTTGAATGTTTTTAAGTAGTTCTGAGAGCTCTGATAATGGACCAAACAGATAAAACTTAAAATCATCAGCATATATGATATTTACAAAATTTTAGTTGTTTTCCCAAGTCGTTTAAAAATAAATTAAAAAGTAAAGAAGAGAGAGGCTCCTTGTGGAACTCCACATTTCAGCCTATCCCAATCTGAAAAATTACCATCTTCATCGACCACTCTTTGGAATCTAGAACTAAGATAAGACCCAAAGCAAGTGCGTACAGATTTGGACATATTAAAAAGTTTGAGTTTATTTAAAAGTAATTTATGGTTAACTGATGGAAATGCGTTTGAAAAATCAAAAAAGACTATTACGGTAATATATTTCGAGTCCATCGCAATTTTGATATCTGTTGTAAATTTCAAAGCTGCAGTACAAGTACTATGTTTATTACGAAAACCGGATGGCAAAGGCTCAAGCATTTCTTTAACGTTTAAAAATTTAGTTATCTGCTCGCAGGCTAATTGTTCTAATGGTTTAGATAGAGTGCAAAGGATGGAGATAGGTCTAAAATCTTTTGGGCTTTTAGGATTTTGTATTTTTGGTATAGGACGAATTGTACTCATCTTCCATATTCCCGGATAGACTCCTGTCTGAAGCGAGTAGTTGTAAATATGTAAAAGAATAGGAAAAATTATTGGTAATGCCAATTTTATCATCTTGATTGAAATATAATCAGGTCCTGTTGCATTTGTTTTGATTCTATTTATGCTTTGAATAAGATTCTCAACTGTTATATCTGCAAAGAAAAAATTGTTCTCATCAAAAGTATCAAAATGGACATTTAGAGACGCAGAAGTATAGGAAGAAATCAGGATTGGAGTTTGAGAAAAAATATCTATAAAATCATTAGCCTGAAAGCAGTAATTCGCATTTTTCTTTTTGTTTGGAATATGGTTAAGCTTTCTTAAGGTGCACCAAATATTTTCAGATTTGTTTCTGTATTTAATCATGTTATAATTATACTTGTTGTAAGCATCTCTTATTCTGGTTTTTACCAAATTTCGCATTTTCTTAAATTTAACATGATCAGTACTGTTTTTTGTTCTCCTGGCAATTCCACGAAGTCTGTTCCTCTCCCTAATGAGCAATCTTAATTCATTGGTCATCCAAGGAGAAAACTTTCTTCTAGGAGTTGCCGGATGTAATGGTGCGAATTTATCAAAAGCAGAAGTCAGATAGCCCGTGAGTTTAAATACTTTTAAGTTTATGTCAGTCTCTGCATATACACTTGGCCAGTCATAAGCCGCGAGGTGCTCGAGGAATTCTGTTTAAGTGATCCTATTTAAACTACGAATCATATTTGATTTTTTTATTGTTTGATATAGGTCACATTCAAATTCAAACTGAGCATCTATCAAATCGTGGCTGGACAAGAAAGTCACCGCATGTTGACCAAACGAAAGTACTTTATTTAAATCATTGACTAAGATTACGTCAAGTCTGGTGCTAGAATTACATAAGTGGTGAGTGGAGCTGTGAGGAACAACACACAAACCTGTCGAATACACCATTGATGTAAAATAATTGGTAATTAATAGGTGATGGTACATCAAGGTTACAATTAAAGTCACCCATGATTATGATGTTATTAAATTCTTAGATTAGCGAGAATATTTGGGTTTCAAGGTCATTACCAAACGATGCATTCGGAGGCTTATATACCACGCCAACTAAAGCGTTATCAAATTGAGATTGAATTTTAATAAAAATGTACTCCGCAGTTGGATATTGCCCCTCACAGCTGGAAGAAACAAAGGAACAATTAAAATCATTTTTTACGTATAAGCAAACTCCCCCACCTCTGCGCCTCTCCCTATCATTACGAAATAATCTGTAATTGTGTAAATCAAATAATTTATTAGAGAAATTTGAATTCAGCCAAGTTTCTGATACAGCAATGACATCGTATGATTTAGAGTTAAAAAAGGTATTAAATTCAATGAAATGAGCAGGGAGTGACTGAGCATTCACATGACAGAAATTTAATATTTTCATTATCTTATAAGATTTTTATAACAATTTTATTTATTATTTTATTGTAGATAAAGTATCTGCAGGTTTCTAGATTACAAATTCTTATTGATATTAAAAAGGTTAAGATTATGATGTGGATGATTACAATAAACAATATTCTGAGAAATATATCGAATATAAAAAAATGGTAGTAATTAATAACTTTTTGAGATATAAAGATGAAAAATGGTGTAAATGAGCATAATACATACATTTGAAAATTAGTATATTGATGATTAATTAGTAAATAAATCATAATGATTAGAAATAATAAAGAATTAATAATGTTAACCAATGCAATTTAAACATTACTCCAAACTTCATGTTAAAGGGAGGAAGTTTATGTAATATTTTGAAGTAAATAAAAATTAAATAAGATATGTTGTGAATATACAAAAATAGAAAAAAAACTATTGTAATCCTACTGACAGTTACTGTAGTTTGTCGAGAGCTTCCATGTTGTTCAGGTAAATCCTCGTTAAACCTTCGTCTTTTTTACAGAAAATTCTCCCCTCGGATATCCATAGATATTTTAATTTTCCATTCCTCCGAAGATTTAGCGCCGCTGAATAAATCGCCCGATTTGTAGGAGTCAAAGTCTCTCTAATATATACCGTTGAGTTGTTGTCGGCAGCCAGGCCCAAATTAGATAAAGTGAAATTCGTTTTCTTGCGTTTGGTAATAATTTCATCACGAATTTTCTGATTAGTAAATTTTGCAACAATGATGGGAGGTAAATCTGAATTTGTGTTATTTATAGTTTTTCGAATTCTGTATATATTAACAAGTTCTCGACTGTTGTAATCTACGTTTAAGTACTTAGTAATGGATTCCAAGGCTAGTGAAAGATTTTCATTTTGAACGGCAGGTACACCATGTATCTCAAGTGTATCTCAACAAAATTGTTATCACAACGCTACTTTTGTTTTAAAATTACATGAATATTACGATATACGAAGTAAATTTAAAAAAAAAATAGTAAAATTAACTTGAGGCTTGAAAAAATTTCCTTCAAAAATAGTAAAATTTAATATTAAAAATTTTTATTTCCAGAATACCTTTTACTATTTTCAAAGACAATTTTTTTTATAAAAATTAGAAAAATTTATTTCAAAAATAGTAAAATTTATTCTAAAAATAAGAATATTTAATATCTAATTGTAATGTTCCAGGAAAGTATAATATTTTTATTAAAAAAATTGACATTTAAAATAGTAAATTTTGCTATTAAAAACCATTATGTTCAGAGTAAATTTTACAATATTCGTAGTAAATTTTATTGAAAATTAGTAAAATATAAGTACTTTGAATTTAGTAGAATCTATTCTGAAGTTAATGTAATTTGTCAAAAATTACAAACAATTTGGATTTTTTTTAGAAGAAAAGTTATTTTATATTTGTTACTTTTTCTGAAAAAATTTCCAAGTTTAAAGACTGAGAAATAATATAAAAAGATTTTTAAGTTTAAAAATAGTAAAATTTTTCCATAGTTTGCAAAAAGTAAACATTTTTTCTTCAAGCATAAACTAAAAATTTTTCTAGCTTACAAAAAATGACAATTAATTTAAGGGGATAAAAAAAAGATAATTAGGTAAAGAAGGGGACTGTGATCGGACTGTGATCCCTGCAATATTGCAAAAATTGATGCAAATTTTTGAAGCTGGGGAGATTTACTTTTATTATTCTTGTACGTTTTTTTTGTTTTGATTTATTAGTAAAAATTTGATAACTACCCAGTGGGCAAAAAATACATTCACGTTCAAGGATCGCTCCTAAAAAATTTCATGTCTGACAAATTAACATTTTAAAAACGTTCAATGCTCTAAAAACGTTTCTAGAACATTAAAAGTTTCTAAAATGTTAATTTAGCAGACATGAAATGTTTTAGAAACGTTCATGAAACGTATAAATGTTTCTTTTGCCCACTGGGTAAGATATAAAATTGAAATTATTTAATTAATAAATAATACTAATTTTATAATTTTTGTTTAACAGGAAGATGATTTAAAATCGACTCTGGAAGAATCGGCTGCCTTACAAAGAGCTTATGAAAAATATATTGATCTAGTTATCGTGAATGAAGACTTTGATAACACGTTCCGACAAGTTATTGAAGCCTTAAACACCCTGGCGACCGAACACCAATGGGTACCAGTCAACTGGATTTATTAATTCACCAACAACAACAATAACAAGAAAAAATCTCTGCCAGATAGTAATTACGTCTCGTCAAATTTATACGAAAGAAAAATTACATTATCAACATTTTTTGCGAACAAAAGCAAAAATACTATACCATAGAAGAGAAAGAAATCCGTTTCGTAAAAAGCTATTAAAATACTAAAATCGAAAAAATAATTACAGAGCTTCAAATTTTAAAAAGGGATCCAGAATTTTTTTTTATTTTCTATTGTGACAAGACAGCAGCGAGTTAAAGAGTAGCATTTACGTTAGTTTGTTAGTACCTTTTTTTATCAACCCGTTTATGACGCAAAGATATTATTACAATAAGTAATCACAAGTAGAAAATATTTTTCAATTCTTATTCAGAGAGATAAAAATTCTTCTTAAAAATTTAAGCAAACGAAAATAACAATTATTCAAAAAATTCAAATTACTAAGAAGAAAAAATTTACTTTACTTTTATACCAAAAATTATTTTTCCTTCTCTTTAAGATAAAAGAAAAAAACGGGTTGAGAGCATTAGACGGCCGTCCAATTATTTTGTAAGATGTTTTTAAATGTTTATTTAATTTTAGCTGTTCAAAGAGCAGTTTTTTAATTTGAGATTTCTATTTTTTTCAAACTATATAAATATTATTTCTTTTTATTCACATTATATTTTTTTTGGCACATAGTGCCTTAAAGTCTTGTGAAGTCTTTATTATTATGTGCGGGACATCCCCCAATAAAAATTGCGAGTATTCTAAAATAGAATAACAATTTTTACAATACATTTGCGAATTACACGATTTTCTTTAAGAAATCCGTATATTAGCAGAAAGAAAAAAAAGAGACAAAAAATGCAAAAATTACGAAGAAAACATTTGAAAAATTAAATATTGTAATACGTATTTGTACATTGTACAACCTGTACATCGATACGAGATGTGATCTCGCTTCAATCAGTGATACACAGAGTGAATAAAGTTTATGAAACATTTGTTACGAATTCCTTGAGTTTTTATTCATTTCTTCGACTTTTACTGGTCCTAAAAGACCAAAAAACTAGAACAGGGTTGCCATAAAAATTTAATTTTGTTTTTCCCTGATTTCCAGACAAAATTTTGACTTTTTTCCTGACCCTAAAGAATATTTTCAAAAAAAATTATGCAAATTCTATTTTTAATAATTGAATTCCGGTGAAATTTTCATTATTATGGAAAATAATTGAATATTCGTGTAGAATTTTGTCAAAATTGTTTTTAAATAATTGAGGGCTCGGATCGAAGAACCGACGCTTGTAAATGTACAGAACATTGCGAAGCGTCGGTTCTTCGATCCGAGCCCTCAATTGAATTCATTTGGGAAATTTGATTAAAATAATAGATATACCTATACAAATTATTAAATTATAAGAAAAATGTTGAAAATAATTGAAATTTTACAATGAATTTTATTAAAATTTTTAAAAATAATAATTGTATTTTATTACTTTTGAAAATAATTAAATTCTTGTGATGTAGGGGAGAGTGGGGCAAACCGGACCGGTGGGTAAACCGGACCCCCCTCAATATTTCCGAAATGTCGAAATTGGAAAAAGTGTTGTTTACAAATTTAGACAACCAAGTTTAGTATACCTTATTTTTTCAATCTGACAGTTTTAGCTTGCGTTTGTGCGACGAAGGGAGCAAAAGTTTTTTTTTTAGTTTTTTTCTACACTTTTTCGAATTTTTTCTTAAGGAAATTCTGAGGAAATCGTGTAATGTTTCCAAATATTAGGTCTTAGGTTTTGAAGGTACACACCTCAGGAATATTTACCACCAAAAACTTTGATGAATTTGCAAAGCGTTTCTTTTTGACAAACATTTATTCTCAAAATGGGCCTGTGGGGCAAACCGGCCATAGGATATTTCCATTGAATTAAAGTTTCATAAAAATTATTTTTAAATAAAATGTTTCTTTCATTAAAATATTTACTTACAATGAAAAATAATTGTCTTCCAATGAGAATTGGACCCTTTAATATTGTTTCTCTGATAATGACAAACATTTTTATTTTTTTATTAAAAAAAATATTTATTTAATTAAAATTCAATCCCATATTATTATTTTCATTACTACAACCATTGTTTACATGATTATTTATGTTTTTTATTATTGTAGATTATGTAAATGCAATATTATAAATAAAAAACCAAACGGTCCGGTTTGCCCATGGGGGGTCCGGTTTACCCCAGGGGGTGGGGCAAACCGGACCTTTTGCAAATTTTTTTTAAGTTAACACAGCAACTAAACAATAAAAGATAAAGTATAGGTGTCTCTGGGAAAAAGTTGCGCAATTAAATTATCTTTCAAACAAGCCATCGAAAAATGAAATCGGTTGATTCGTTTAGTCACAAGAGTCAAAAAACCGTTAGGGGGTCCGGTTTGCCCCACTCTCCCCTATAGAATATTGTTATTTATAAAAATAATTGGCTTCCTCTGAATGATTTTACTATTTATGAAAATAATTAAACCCCTGAAAAGAATATTAAAATTTATAAACATAATTGAACACTGCGAAAAATTTACCTAATGCCAAATATTAAAACATTGATTTTATTTAAATTGATCCTAATTCTGTTTTAAATAATTGAATTCCTGTAAAATTTTTATTTTTTTGCTACATAATTGAATGTTTGTGTAGAATATTATCAAAATTTTTGTTTAATAATTAGATTCTTTTGGAAAATTTTATTAAAATAGTAGAATATTAAAATTCATTGAATTAGGAAAAATTTTTTAAAAAATTAAATTTTATTACTTTTAAAAATAATGGAAATCTTGTGATGACTACTATTAGGGGAGCGTGGAGTAATGGGAGCTTTTAAATTTCACGTACTTAAAAGCCTTCAAATTCGCTGCAATGTCTAGAAAATCTTCTACAACCTTTGTTTATATCATTCCAAAACAAACGATCACATTCTTGACAAATTTTTAGTAAAGACAAGGGAAAATGTATTTTTTGAGTTTTCGTTGTAAAATGCAAAATATTTCTAAACATCACCATAAGTAGTTAAAATCGTATTATTTAGTTATGTTTTTTCATTATATTATATATGAATATGTGTGGATATGTATACTTGTATAAAAATCCAGATAATAATAAAATTTGTTTATGTTTTTATTTTTTTATTCAAATTTTGTCCTGTAAAAATTCTGTGGGGTATAATAAGAGAATTAGTGTCAGCCCAAAGAATTTTCGTTACTATGTTATGGCTTTCGTTATTTCTTTGAAAATTGTAAAAGATATCACCTTATGAACAAACTTTTAATTAAAAAATAATTTTTGGTGGAAAAAATGAAAAATTTAATTTTTTTTTTAAATTTTGTATTAAATTATAATTTAGGAAAAAATTTATTCTAAGTCTAAAGTTTTGGCTTCATTGTAAGTTTTAACACTTTTTTCTATTAGAAAACAAAAAATATTCCTAAAAAATAAAAATTTTTTAAATTTCAAGTGAAAGCTCCCAATACCCCACAAATTGGGTAATGGCCGGTGATGGCAAAAAATGTATTTTTTTTGAAAAATTTTTTTTTCCAATTTACTTTCTCTTTTTAAGTTTCTAATGAAACATAATTAAAGATAAATAACGAAATGAGTAGAAAATGACTAAAACAATGTATTATTATAAAGATAAGTTGGTTTTTTTAAATAATTTTCCTTAAGGGGCTCTAATTCCCCTACGCTCCCCTATTATTTATGAAAATAATTGAATTTTGCTATTCATCTATAAAGATAATAATTGAAATTTGAAGGATTTCTTGAAAATAATTGAATTTCTGCGAAGAATTTTATTATTTTTCAAAATAATTGAATTCTTGTGATGAATATTGTTCTTAACGAAAATAATTGAATTATACAATGAATTTTATTAACATTCCTGAATATAATTGAATTTTGTCGAAAAATTTTGCTATTCATTTATAGAAATAATTAAAATGTTGACGATTTTTTTTTAGATTTTCTGAAAATAATTGAATTTCTGCGAAGAATTTAATTACCTTTGAAAATAATTGAATTTTTGTCATGAATATTATTATTTATGAAAATAATTGAATTTTGCAATGAATTTTATTAAAATTCCAGAAAATAATTGAATTTCGACGAAGAATTTTGCTATTTATAAAGATAATAATTAAAATGTTGGTTGACGAGAATTTTTTTTTCAAATTTTTGAAAATAATTGAATTTCTGAAAAGAATCTTGATATTTGAATTCTTTCAAAGAATTGCGTTAAAATTTTCAAAATTAAAACTAATTTCAACAGAATTGAAATTAAAATTTTTAAAAGAATACTTCATTAAATGATTTAGAAGTAATTAACTTTATGGCAGTTCTTCAAGAATTAAATTATTTAAAAGACATTATTGTCAGAAATAGAAAAAATTTAAGGTTTTTTTAGATTTCATGGTAATTTCATAGTTTACGAGACAAATTCTAAATATTTAATTGTTTCCATTACTTTTAATAAAAATCCCTGATTTCCCTGACCTGTGGCAACCCTGATTAATAATAAAGGAATAGATCATTCATACGAGAATTAGCGCGCGCTTTTCATAGTTCAAATAAATAATTCGAAAGATAAATAATTATGCAAATTTTTTGTAGACGAATGGAAATTTTGTTTTAAAATAACAAATAAACGTGGCGCCATATAACCGGATAAAATTATTTACGCATGCGCTGATCATAAAGAGCAATTGCGCATGTTACAAGCGCACGCGAAATTACACATTTTTATAGGTTATATTTGTGACTGCAGCTCTGCAGCTGTCAAAAACAGGACATTTTATAAACAATAAAAATAGAAAAATGAATGTCTTAGATAAATTACGATATTTAGACGCCTATCCCAAAGTACTCGAGGATTTTGACAGTTTACGAATAAAAACATCCGGAGGAGCTATCGGTATATATATATATATATACATGTTATGTTTACAATAATTAAATACTTCCAGTCTTTATTTACATATTTATTATTCTGTCAAACTTGAACTGTTCTTTTACCAATGGTTACTCTTTTTCACTACTTATAATTTAAAATAAAAATTGTCTTTAAATGAAAAAAATATTTCTTTCTAGAAAAATAGTAATTAGAGAGAAAAAATGAAGCCACGTGGCAAAAATTGAATTAAACTAAAGGTTAAGAAATTGTTTTTTTTATTTTTTATTCCCTTTAATATATAAATTAAATAACAAATAGTTTGATAAACAATTGCCAAATAACACCGGCAAACAATCAACGTGTTTTCTAACTGGCAATTTAATTCTTTTCAGTGACAGTTATAAGCACAATAATAATGGTGCTACTATTTATTTCTGAAGTTAATGACTTTCTCACACCTAATATTAATGAAGAATTATTTGTCGATACTTCTAAGGGTTCAAATTTGAGAATTAATCTCGATATAGTCATACCAAGAATTTCCTGTGATCGTAAGTAATAAAATGATGTTTTAATTAGAAATATTTAAAAAATGTCTCTTTTCCCATCGAGAAAATGCATAATAAAGTGAAAATATTTTTTAGTTTTATCTTTAGATGCAATGGACACGACTGGTGAGCAGCATTTGCACATAGAACATAATATTTATAAAAGACGATTAAATTTAGAAGGTAGACCTATTGAGGAACCAAAGAAAACAGGTTTGTATTTTTTAAAATTTTCCCATAATTGAAAAAAGTATCAAAAATTACTTCTTTTTAAAAAATATTTCTAATGGTTAATTTTCCAATAACAGACATTATGGAAGTCAAGAAGAAACCAACTGAAAAGGTACGAGTGAATATTTTAATTGTTGTCAATTTTTTTTCTTTTATTTCTTAAAAACTGTGCACAATTCATTAAAATTAAATGAAAAATATTTAATTTATACAGAACACAACAGTGGAAACTTGTGGAAGTTGTTATGGAGCCGAAGATGAAGCGGCAGATATAAAGTAAGTTCTAAACATTTGAAAAATTCTACCAAAAAAAAATCTTAAACAATATAATCCCCATTTTTTTATTTAAATTCATATTATAATAAAAATCTCTTTGAATAATTGAAATTTTGTAAAATTTAATTAAAAATAATTAATTTTTTTCAAGTATTTTGTAACAATTTTTGAAAATCAACTTTTGAAGAATTTTAATTGTAAATAATTATGGAAAATAATAATGAATTATCAGAAATTTTAATAAAAAAATCTTTAAATGTAAATTTAAAAATGAAAATCAATGAAAATTAGCTAAATTTAAATAATAAAAAATAAAAAAATAATATTTTAGAATTATTTTTAACAATATGGAAAAAAAATCTTGTTAAAAATTTTTAATTAAAATTATAAATTTATCAAAATATTAATTAGTTTTTTTAAATTATACAAAAATTCTTTTAATAAATTCAATTTTTTTCAAAAAATTACATTACAATTTTTGAAGATTCAATTATCTTCGAACAAAGTAAATAAAAATTTATTTTTGAATTTATTATTGAAATTCTTTAAAAATTTGATTCTTTTTATTTATATTCTTCAAAAATTTTACCAAATTTCAATTGTTTGGTAATTTTTCAATTATATATCATTAAAAACTATTATCTTTCAAAAATTATTTTAAAATATTTTTAAAAAATCATTTCTAAGAATTTCTTTTTTATAATTTTTTGCAAATATCATATTTTAATAACTTAAGAAAAAAACATTCGGACAGGTACAATTTTATTATAAAAAATTGAGTTTTTGTATTTGAATAATTGGATTTTAGAAGAACTTTAGGAAAATTATTTAAAATAATTGATTTAGAGATGAAGTTTAGTTGAAAATTGTAGAAAATAATTGAATTCAGGAAGGGTTATAATTGTAAATTTTAGAAATTATTATAAAATTCATAAATTTTACTCATTTTCCGCAAACTCTCATATTTTCCTTTAAAAAGAATTTTGTCAGGGAAATCGATAAACTGAAACTTGTGACCACCCTGTTAAAAAAAAGATGATCTAAAAGAAAATGGAATTTGAATTTAAAGAAATAATTATTTAGAAATTATTAATTCTTTGAAGAAGAAATAAGAAAAAAGAAAGAATATTTAAAAAATGAAAATTAAACAGATGCTGTAATACTTGTGAGGCAGTGAAGGATGCGTATAGAAGAAAAAAATGGGCATTTTCTGATGTTTCGAAATTTGAACAATGTCAAAGCGAAAAAGGTGTGGAAAAAATGAAACACGCTTTTACAGAAGGTTGTCAAATTTACGGTAAAATGGAAGTGAATAGGGTCGCTGGTAGTTTTCATATTGCGCCAGGCGACAGTTTTTCGGTAAATCACGTTCACGGTAAATTTTTTTCAAACTTCCGATTATAAAAAGATAAAAATTTACCTACTTGTTTCTTTTTTCTGTAAATAACTAATTTTCATTCTTTTTTATAGTACACGATGTTTCACCGCATTCTTCAACACAATTCAATTTATCGCATGTAATACGTCATGTAAGTTTTGGAATTAATATACCAGGCAAAACAAATCACTTGGATAATACTACAATAACAGCTACAGAAGGTAAGATCGTCTTCCGTGTTAATATTCTTTTTTTTATTAAAAATGTCATAATGGATTGAAAATGCTGCTTTTTCTCCTATAGCTAAATATACACAATTCTGCTTGCTGTACTAACACCTTATGCCAGATCCAATCGCCATAAATGTGCCAAATGTTCCTCCACTTTGTATCATTATCTTCCCCATGTTGTTTACCAATTCCCTTCCCCTCATGCCAGACCTGATATTAAAAAACATGTTTTTAATTATTTTAAGGTTATGTTTCCATTATATTTTTTCATTTTTTTAGCACTATCCAGCGATTTTCAGTATTTTGGGTTTTCTTTTGAGAATAATTTCTTATTTCTACTAAAATTATCACTCTAGTGAATGGACGTTTAACGGACATTGGACTTTGACAAAATGTTGTCACATTAAAAAATCTTTATATTAAACATGACATTAAATAATCAAAAAAATATAGAATTTCCAAATACCTCAGGGCAGTGAATCCTCCGAATATCGCTCCAGAAGCTAATCCAACACAGAATCCCATCGTAAATCCCATTTTTATTCTGTCCCAACAAGTTGGGCCTTGTTGATAAGCACCACCACCAACGACCGGCATTATAACCTGAAAAAAATTCTCATTTCAATAATGAACAATTAACAACATTCACAATTAACTAAAACTGATCAATTTTAAAACTTTTTTTTGCAATTCTAAATTTAGATTTGTAACGAAATGAAATATTTTTTTTACGGTTTTTTCTGTAAACAAAAAAATTTACGCAAAAGTTGAAATTTATGTCAATGACAGAAAATGGCGTTTAATTGTCACTTGTCGGTTTTTTCAATAATCTAAGGAGTAAATTGCAGAGAACTATTAAAGAATACGTACAATAAATAGAAGTTTATAATCTTTTTTTTAATTAGTATCTTTAATTAACACATGCAACACACGTTTTTTAGTTAATCAGTCGGGCGGCCATGTTGACTTTATTCATGTTAGCCAATACAAGAAATGAAAATCACCAATTTTTGTATTGGTATCATGTCAAACTCGGCGGGAATTTTTAAATTCGCATTTTTTCGAAACAAAATATTTATTGTCTTTTAATAGGAATTTATTTAATTTTTTTTATTTATTATATTGTATTTTATTATTATTAAAATTATAATTATTATTATTATAAAAGAATATTATTGTACTTATTAAGAATTTTAATTTTCAATTCTTTTACAGGGTGGACATACGTTTCAGTTTATCAATTTCCCTGACATTTTTTATCATTTTTTGATTTCATTATTTTTTACAATTTTCAATTAAACTTCATCTCTAAATCAATTATTTTAAATAATTTTCCTAAAGTTCTTCTAGTATCCAATTATTTAAAAGTAAATACTCAATTTTTAATAATAAATTGTACCTGTCCGAATGTTTTTTTCTTAAGTTATTAAGGTACAATATTTTCAAAAAATTATAATATTAAAGAAATTCACACAATTAATTTTTTAAAAATATTTCTAAACAATTTTTGAAAGTTAATAGTTTTTCAATTATACGCAATTAAAAGATTTTATATTTTTGAAAAACATAATTATGTAAAAAGAATCAAATTTTTGAAGAGTTTTAATTACAAATAGGACCACAATTTCTCCGAAATTTTAATAAGTCTACAGAAGTAAATTTCCATAAATTTTTATTTACTTTGTTCGAACATAATTGAATCTTAAAAAATTATGAAAGAACAATTTTAAGAATTAGTTTTTAAAAATATTTTAATATAATTTTTCGAACTTAATTGAATTTTAATTAAAACTTTTAAACATTATTTTATTCTCCAAAATGTTAAAAATTCTTTAAATTAATATATTAAAAAACCACAAAAAACATTCATCTAGTTAAAAATTATTGTTATTGTTTTTTGTAGGTATTTGAATTTTCGAAAATGTATAATTGAAAATATGGATTTTTAAGAAATTAGAAGCTAGTTTTCATTAATTTATTCATTTTTAAATTTACATTTAAAGGTTTCTCATAACAATTTTTGATAATTCAATTATTTTCAAAATTGGCAATTAAAATTCTTCAAAAGTTGATTTTTAAAAATTGTAACAGAATACTTGAAAAAAGTAATTCTTTTCAATTAAATTTTACAAAATTGCAATTATTCAAAGAGATTTTTATTATATCTATAAATTTGAAAAATTTAGTTATCTTAAAAAATTATTCAAAATAATTTTTGAAAGATTTTTTTTAGTTGTTTTTTGCACTATAAAAATTGAAATAAGTTACATTTTATACTAAAAATGTCTTATTTGTTGCAATATTTAGAAAAAAAGTCGAAAAAGTTGCAATTTCTGAAAATAAGTTGAAAAAAATCCCAATTTTCTAAATTTCCCTGACAACAAATTTTTTTCCTGGTCATTTCCCTGACTTTACTGACATGTGGCCACTCTGTTTTATTCTTAATAAAAATTTCTAACTCTTAAAAATATAAATTCTATTCTAAAAAATCAAAAAATAACAATTTAACGAGTTTTTTGTTTGTTTTTGCAGGAGCAATGATGTTTTACTATTACATAAAAATAATTCCAACGACTTTCGTCCGAAAGGATGGTTCTCTACTTTCAACAAATCAATTTTCGGTGACAAGTCATTCGAAGCATGTATCGCCAATGTCAGGAGATTCTGGAATGCCGGGGATATTTTTTAACTATGAATTAAGTCCATTAATGGTGAAATACACAGAAACAGCAAAGTCATTTGGACATTTCGCCACGAATCTCTGTGCAATTATTGGAGGCGTTTTCACAGTTGCTGGACTTTTTGATTCATTCCTTTACCATTCGATTCGAGCAATTGAGAAGAAAATCGAATTAGGAAAATTTAGTTGAAACATTTCTAATTTGCCACGTAAGATAAATTTTTCAAAGTATTATTCAAATTATGTAATTAATAACTAATTATTATTACTTTTATTGCTATTATTAGTAAATATTAATTAGTTATTATATTAATTATTATTAATTAATTTTAATTACTTTTAATTGATTTTAATTAATTTTAATTAATTACATAACTAATTATACGAACGAAAGCGTTAAATATTGACTAAAGAAAAATAAGATCTTTTAAACTTGTGAGATTTCGACTTTGATAAATATTTTTCCAACTGTAAATTTTTTCCCACAATCTATAAAGTACATATTATGTACAATTTTTCTCAACTTTTATATAAATTTGTACATTTTTAATTTATAAATTTACATTGTATGTATATCATTTTCTGTCGTACGTTTAAGAATTTTTATTCTTGTAAAAGAATTCAAGTTACGAAATATAATAATGTTTAATAGTATATTGAAGAAGAATATTATTCAAATTAACACATACTTACACTTTATACAATTAACAATTCATTACAAGTTATAAAGTTTTCAGAAAATCATTATACGTTAGAATTGTAGTTTTCGCAATATTTGCACAAAATTCTGAATCCGTTCCCGACACAATGTCTTTTGGTGAAACATACAATGGTTTTAATGGATCGTATTGTGCTTTTTTGATATGAACCAAAAATTGATGTCGTGCCTCGAGTCTACTTTTTCTGCAATTTAATATACATGGCTGCAGAGAAAGAATTTCGTGACTCAAACACATAGTATTGTGTGCATAATCAAAACTATTCCTCAAATTTTTTAAACCTGAAAAAATTAATATTTTTCATTAAATTTTAATATTGAGAATGAAAAAAACTTAATTCTAAATAAGCATTACAGAATATTAAAATATCAAAATTAAAAATACTTTGAGAACTACGTACACTTTGTCCATAAACGAGGACTAGATAACAATATTAATGCTGCTTGTTCTGGTTCAAAGCCAAATTCTTTTTTAAAGGCAAATGTTTTCTTTTCAAGAACCATTTTATCGTAACTAATCAGCTTTGGCAATTTTAATGTAAGCAATCGAACATTATTTGCCTTTAATTTAAATTCATTTTGAAAATATCCAAGTTTTGAGTCAATTTCTTGAGTAGTGTATGAGAGCCATAAAGGATGTTTTTCCAATATTGTGGCAATCATAGACGGCTTATAATTATGTGCTCTCAAATAACGTATTCTTGTATGTAGATCGTCTAAATCTTCTTGGAAAATTTTTGGAAATTTTGTTATAAATGGACCAAATTGATGAACCGGTAAACCGGTGTCGTGCAAAAATTGAATGTAAGGTTTAACATCTTTATCGAAATTAAGATTGACAATCATTTTTACAATTTCGAGGTGCTTATCGAATTTCCATAATTCAACACCAAGTTTCGTTAATTCTTGAACTGTTTTTGATTTGTCGGCAAAACTTGCAATATTAAAACTAGCTCCTGTTTCAGTGCTGAGGTGTGATACATCTTCTGTGTTTTCATCTAAAGCTTTTGGTAGTTTTACTTCAAAGCCATGTAAATAATCATCATCGTAAAAATTGTCTCTATTAATTTTAAAAAAGGAATTTATTTCCGTTCTCTCCGGCAAATTGTCATCAATTTCTTTTGGAACAAAAGTAATTCGAGGAGATTCTTGTTTTTCACTTATTTGTTTATTTATTGATGAAATGCTTGAACATTGTCGGAAGATAACCTCACTTTTTAGGCAAAGATCAACTTTACGCGCAATTTGCACGAAGAATGGTTTCAGTAGAACCATTGTTGAGAAATTTGGTAATATGGAATTCAACTGAAATGATAAATTAAGTTAATTTCTATGTTATTTATGCAGAAAAATATGAAAAATATTAGAACTGAACTCACATTTGTCAACAAGGATTTAAAGAGCCATGATCGATAAAACAGTGAAGAGTAAATAATTTAGTTATCGACAGAGGAAAATGACAGTAGCGCTCATCATTAAAGTGCGGCAATTTGGGAATTCATTTGATTCCAATATGGCGAATGTGAGGGATAGTGATACTTCGTTGTGGCTTCATAATAAGCTTGGAACGTCAAACGATAGCTGGACTGGCAGTTCAATTTGTTCTCAGTTGAATGCCGAAGTTTTAAGGAACATAAAAGATTGTTTTCCAGACTTACAAACACAAGTGAAACTTAAATTACTTCTATCTTTCTTTCACATACCAAGACGCAATGTTGAAGAGGTAATAACAATTCTTCTCCTTATGTTTTCTAGATTAATTTTTGAATTATCCACTATTATTTATTTTTTTTAATTATATTTTTAAATAAGTCGTAACGCATTATGCAGTTTATCTAATAGTAATATCTCCAAACATGCGCTACTTTCTACCCGCCATCTATTTAATTTCACGGTCAATGTTTTTAGAACGATTAATATTAATGTAGTATTTTGTATATGACATAAAAAGTACGCTAAAGTAATAAACAAACTATAAACTTTAAATTATTTCCACAAGTTGATAAGTTTATTAAATTTCTTTACATAAATTAACTCTAAATTTATCTGTTTATTTGTTGTTTTTTTAATAAATCAAATTTTCAGAAGTGATTACAAATTTTGACATTTAATCATCAATTTTGTAAATAATAAAGTGTGGAAAATCATAACCTGAAATTTAATGATTTAATAGCTCTTGTAATCTACTTTATTATTTTGTATTATTTGTGTTAATATGTTTCGCTTTATTATTATATAATACTTTTAGTGGCGAGTGGAATTGGAAAAGATTATCGAGGTGGCTTCCTTGGACAGCGAATTATGGGTATCGATGTTATCCGAAGCGATGAAGACATTTCCGAATACTGGCTCCTTGAATACAGATATAACCGATCTTGATGAACATCGTCCAATTTTCGGGGAACTGGTTAACGATTTGCGTAAATTATTAAAAAAACAAAACGATCCAGCCATGTTGCCACTCGAGTGTCATTATCTCAATAAAACAGCACTTACCTCAGTAGTTGGTCAACAGCCGCAACCGACTAAACATTTTACACTCAAAAGAAAGCCAAAGAGTGCAACATTAAGGGCAGAATTAGTGCAAAAAAGTACAGATGCAGCGAGTAATTTGAAAAAGAGTACAGCGCCTACAGTTCCCGTTCGAAGTAGAGGAATGCCGAGAAAAATGACCGACACGAGTAAATTCCACATTTTTTATTTCATTTGGTTCTATTTCTACTGAATTACTTTATTTACTTCTATTAAGTTTTACTTAAACTAAATTGCAAAAATACAGAATTTAAAATATTAAACAATAGTAAACAATAGTCTGCATATTTAAAATGGCAAATTTAGAAATGTTGATTGTCAACTGTAGATTCTCATTGACATATTTCATTACAGCTCCTTTGAAAGGTATTCCGAGTCAAGTTCCAACGAGTGGATTTCGATCGCCCTCGCATACGAGCCCGGCTATTGCGAATAGAACTCCAATCAATAGTCGTATTCGCAAAGACGGTGGAATTAAACTGTTGGATATTAACGAGCAACCTTTAGGCTATGCACAAGCCAAGAAACGAAAGAAGATGATGGAGTTGGAGGAGCAGCAGAAGAAGGTGGCAGAGGCGCAGGCTGCGGCCGCTGCTGCAGCTGCATCGGCAGCAACGGCCACGGAAACATCGGCAACTCCAGAATACGCTCAGGGTCTTACGCCAATAAATCCACCCACAACGACCGTCATAACGCCAACAGTGCCACAACCTTATGTCACGCCAAGCACTCCAACTGGTGTCACTGCAGCAGTTACGCCGCAAACTCGTAAGATTCAATTAAAACAATATTTCATAATATCGTGGACTCGGATTTTATGACCTTTTCCAACATTTTTCTACTTTTATTTTCAAAAATTCCAACTTTCTGGACTGTTTTTCACAAATATTTTAACAAAATACCACATTCTTAGTATGAAATGCAACTTATTTTGATTTTGTGTGAAAAATATTTGGAAAAATCTTAAAAAAATTATTTTTGAATCATTTTTTAAAGAGTTTTTTAAAATTTAATTGAAATTAATTGTTTTTTTAATTGCAAATATTTTGAAAATAATTAAATTCTCAAAAATTTTAATGATAAACCTTTAAGTGTAAATTTAAAAATAAAAATTATTGAATATTGTATATTAAAATATTTTTGGAAAAAGTAATTCTTAGAATGTTTTCATTCAAATTTTTTAAAATTGAATTATTTTCAATTATACATTTCTGAAAATTCAAATACATACAAATATTTTAGAATTATTTTTAATATTTTGGAAAAAACAATCATGTTCAAAAATTTTAATTAAATTTCTTCAAGAAATTAATTAGTTTTTTTTTTAATTATGCAAAAATTCTTTAAAGAAATTCAATTACTTTCGAAAAATTACATTGAAATACATATTTCTAAAATCTAATTCTTAGAATTGTTCTATTATAATTTTTTAAGATTCGATTATCTTTGAACAAAGAAAAGTTAAATTTTTAAAAATTTACTTTTTTAGACTTATTAAAATATCGGAGAAATCATATTCATATTTATAACTAAAATTCTTCAAAATTTTTTTTTATATATTTTGCTAAAATCTAATTATTTTTAAAACAGTTTACCAACTTTCAATTGTTTGGAAATTTTTCAATTGTATATATTTGAAAAACTATTATTTTCAAAGATTATTTCGAAAAATAATTCAGAATAATTGATTTAGAGATGAAGTTTAGTTGAAAATTGTAGAAAATAATTGAAATTTGGAAGGGTTATAGTTGTAAATTTTAAAAATTATTAAATTTCAGAAGGTTTTAAATTAAAATTCTTTTAAATTTTATTTCTCGTAGAAGAACAAATAGGAAGTACCTATTTAAATATTTAATTATTAAAATTATTAAAGTTTTGAATAATTGAATTTAGAAATCAGTAAAAGGCCAGGGAAGTACAAAATAAAGTTTTTGTGACAACTCTAAATTAAATAAATGACTTTTTAGACTTTTTTATATGTTTAATGGACTAAAGCGACTTTTTTGCGTCTTAAAGTCGATCCGAGGTCTAAATAATAATAATCACTATTAATAAAAAATTATTAGTAATAATTAAAAATGACTATTCATCACTTAGTAATTCAAAATTATTTTTCATCACTAGTTAGTGAATTTATGGTGAAAATATGAAAATGAATTAAATATTGTTAAATTCCAGAGATTAAATATTATATTTATACAATTATTCACAAAATTTTTATTTTTATACAATTTTGTAAATTACAATATTAAAAAAAAATACATAAATTATTGTAATTAATAATAAATTATTCTATTTTTTATAGCTACTACACCTACGACACCTTCTACGCCTAGTTCGTCGCTTCCAGTTGCAACTCCAGCAACAACTCCCACCGAGAGTGCACCAATTGGAGTGCAAACAGTCAGGCCGGCTCAGACTGTCACTCAAATTCGTATTCAAACTGCAGCACAACCCGCTGGTTCCACGGCGAATACAAGGAAAGGATTGTCCCTTACGGTGAGCAAAGATTTACCAAAATAGTCTTTTTTCATTTTTTTCCTAAATAGAGTAGTTTTTAAACAAAAAACACTATTTTTTCCTTAAGAATTCAAGTTAAAATGAATTTTTATACATATATCAATTCGTTTCATTTTTTTTAGAAACCGAATTATTTTCTATTTACTTAAACAATAATGTAGCGAAATTAAAATTGTATCGTCAAATTAATTTTGTTATTGTCTTTTTCAGAGGGAACAAATGTTGGAAGCTCAGGAAATGTTTAGAACAGCCAATAAAGTTACAAGACCAGAAAAAGCCCTTATTCTCGGTTTCATGGCAGGTTCCAGGGGTAAATTTTGTTATACACAGTTATTTTTACACTCCTTGTTATAAATAAATGTATAAGTGTCTACACTGCACGTTAGTGAAGTTTACAACTTTTATAATTAACGACATAAAAAAATTTTTAAATAACAATATATTTTTCTATTTTAAATTTTATATAACAAATATTTTACAGTTTTTTAATCAATAACTTTAAAAAAAAATTTGAAAACAAAAAATTTTATTGTCTTTAGCTTGAAAAATATTCTTTTTCTTTCAATTGTTGATTATAAATGTTGTTAAATTCATCAACGTTACACTGCAGCAAATAAAAAAGTTTTAAATTAAAAATTTTAATTAAAACCAGTATTTTATGTGAATCTTTTTAGAAATGTTATTTTTTACATTGTTATTAATTTTTTCAGATAATCCTTGTCCAAAATTGGGCAACATTGTAACAGTGATGTTGTCAGAAAACGTTGAGGATGTGACACAAGCCGATGGAACAACATTACCAACGTTGGTCGAGACACATTTCCAAATGAATTACACGAATGGCGAATGGAAGAGGATAAAGAAAAACAGACGTGTAGTATCGGATGATAATTGTGCAACAAATACACCAACCCCTAGTGCCACAGCCAAGGCTTCTAATTAAATTTATCATCTCAGTTAATTTTTTTTTCTTTTTTTTGTACCTTGTTTGCTATTCTTTTCAAAAATAATGCGAATAGATTTTTTATCAAAGAATCATTTGTTTATCCTTTTTCTCTTTTGTTTTCACTTCTATTTTTTTCTTAATTTAATATATCACTATTCATAATAAGTTGAAAAAATTTTCCGTTGAAGGGAAGTTTTTTACAACTTTATTGAATATGCGGCCTTAAAAAAAATTTTTGGAACAGTAATTTAGTTTTTTACAAATTGTGATGGTTTTATTGTAAGTAAAGTTACTGTTCCTTATTGTAAATTGTGCGTTACAGTACTGTTACAGTGAAGTAATTTTGTTTTTTATTTTACATAACAGAACACAGTTTATTGTATATGCCGCATAATTTTTTATACATCAATATTAAAGAATAATTTTTCAAATTGAAAAAAAAGTAATGCAAATATTTTCTAATTAACATTAAAGTATCGTGCGCTTTGTGAATTAAGTGTAAATTCTCAATTTCTTGTCCATGGCTCTTTGTTAAAGCGATAGAATATAAATATCTTATTCGTCAATGTCTTCTAAAAGTCGATTTTGCGAATGTAAATTAAAAAGAGTTTCTTCGCGAAAGGAAACTTAAAAATTTGTTTCTTTAAATCTATAGAACAGCCGAGTGATTTGTGTTTAGAGAATAAACTAATTAAAGGGAGAAAAATCAAAATTCAAATTTACATGTAAAGTAAGCAGTTTTTTCTTTAATTTCAAAATGCAAAAAGGAAAAAAAATTAAAGTTGCTTATCTAAATTCGTATTTTTTAATAATATAATGTTACTTAAGAATTTCATGATATTCGGTTGTATCTAAAGATTCGTAAATTATTTAGTTTAGCCTAGGAATAAGATTGAACAAAGAGATAGACTTCAAAATAAAAAGAAAATTCTTATTATTTCTAAAATTGTTTCTCGCAATTAAATTATAATATATATTTACAAATGTATGAAATGAAAGCAAGACTCTTATAATATTGTTATATAAATAAAAAATAATTATATTGATTAAAAAACTGCTTTTCATTTCCACTTTCATTCATTAATCTATATTTTACTTTGAATTTGTTCTTTATACCTAAATTTTCAATTTATTTGTTTATTATTAATAAAGAAAATAAATTGTACTTATAAATAATTAATAAACAAAATTAAATTTCGCGCTGATGTTTCCAACGAACCGGAAAATGACTTGGTCTTTAAATTGACTTATATTATTTATTTGGATAAATCTGTTTATAAATATTTTTACTCATTTATTATAATTAATTTACTAATTATATTTTATTTTTATTACTATTAATTCGGTTAGTTTTCTTTTTATTTTGCTTTACTTCATTTAAAATCGATTTAAAGAGAAAAAAATTTCAACTTTGCGCCATAACATAACAAGGGAACCGGAAGTTCATGTATTTATAGAATGATTTCACAAGTGAAGGTTTAGAAAAAGTTTTCTCCTCTTTTTATCAATAAAATAAGAAAATCCGACAATAATTTAAAGGAATAGACATATTTTTCGATAATATTTAAGAAGATATATCTACAGAGTGTGGAGAAATTACAATTTCTTTGAGAATATACGAAGAGAAAATAAAAAAGATTATTACATAACCTATAAAAAGGACATTTTGATAACGTGAACGTGCCAGACAATAAGCATTGACTTAATAAACATTTATTATTATTAAATAACTTTACAATTTTGCCTTAGAAATCAGTATTTAGTGCATTTTTAAGTAATATTAGTGTTTAAATATAAAACAAAAAGTTGTTAGAAATTATTAACAATGTCTCGATTCCTGGCGAATTTGTATCCTCAGGCTAGAAATTTGGTAAGTATTATTTTGTTATTACATAATATTGGTACAAATTGTTGTTTAATTGATACATTTTATTTGAGTACATTATATATTTATAGTTTTTCTAATTTTTTTGTTAATTCGTCAACAATGAAACAATTGTTATATCATTCTTTACAATGTTTTTAAATCTCCTTTACAAATCATTGTTTATTAAAAATTAATTCCTTTAAATTATAACAATTACTAGCAAAATCCTATGCGCGCGTGAATGATTTAAAGAATTATCACGGTAGCAATTTACCTGCCTGTCTTACCACAGAAAAAGTACATACGGGAAAATGTTCATGTTTAATAAAATGAAGAATATATTTCAGAACTATGGATACGGAAAAATTTTTGAAAATCCTACAAAACCGTAGGTTGAAAATGTACGGAAAAAATTTTTCAGGGAAAGTTCTCGAACTACACCTGAACAGTGAGAAAAGAACATGAGAAAAAGTTGAGGTCTAATCCTGCATTACACTAAAGAAATTCTTGAACTTTTCAGGAATCTACTGTGTAGAGCAGGAGAAATTCTCGAAGTTCACGGCAGATTTTTGAAAAATTCAGGGACATCTTTAGTGTAATGCAGAATTAGACCTTAACTTTTTCTCATATCCACCGTTCAGGTACAGTTCGGGAACTTTGACTGAAAAAATGTTTTCCGTGTGCTAAGAGTTTTCGATAAAGATTATAATGAATTTAATGGAAACTTTCTGAACTTTAGATAGAATAATTGTTGAACTACTCAACAATCGCAAAATTTTAAATTGTCTCTCAGTTTTCTCTTTTTTACTAATTAATATTGGTATATATTGTAATTCTTTGTAACTTCTCTAAAAAATTTTCCGTATTCACCATTTCAGAATAAATTCTCGATTTTTGTGAGACAACATTTTTCTGTGTTCCTTTTACAAATGGAAACATATCGATTATAATATCGATATGTTTAAAATTTTTTTAAAGAATTTTATTTAAATTTTTTGAAAATAATCAGAGGAAGTTAGTCACCATAATTATAATTTTATTTTTTTAAATTTCTTCACAATATATTCAATTATTTTCATAAATAGTAAAACTCATTGCAGAATTTCAATTATTTTTAAGACAATTTTAATCAAATTCCTGGAAAAATGTAATATTGTTCTTAAAAATTTTATTAAAATTCGTCGAAAGAATTCAATTATTTCTAGAAACAGTAAAAAATTTTTCTCAAGAATTTAATTATTTCTGTAAGTTGCAAAATTCTTTAGATTTACTAAATTCTTTTGAATACTATTTTTAAAAAGAATTTTTTACTAGAATTCAGCTATTTTCATAAATTTCTATAAAATTCTAAAAAACAACTCAATTATTTTCAAATGTAATAAAATTCTTCGCAGAAATTCAATTATATTTAAAAATTTGTTTAAATTCTTATCAAAATTTTAATTATTTTTATAAATAATTAAATTGTTCTGTACAATTCATTTTTTCAAAAATTTTAATAAAATTCTACGCAAACATTCAATTACTTTCATAAATAATAACATTCTTTGGAAGTATTCAATTACTTTCATAAATAGTAAAATTCTTTGCAGAAATTCAATTATTATCAATAACATTTTAATAAAATTAAATAATCAAATTTTCAATTAAAATTATTAATAAAACATTATTTTCAAAAAATTTTAAGAAACTCGCCAAAAGAATTATTTAAACCGGGAACAAAAAAATTATTATTACAAATTTTTAATTCCTTAAATTGTCAATATTTAGGGACGTATGACTCTCCCCAAATTTAACTCTATATAATTGTTATTTCATGGAATTTTAAACTTTATAATTATTATTTACTCAAAAGGTAGATATCTAAAATTTAATGCTAACATTATTGCTTAGTTTTTATTTTATGTCACTGAATACGTAATTCGTAGAATATTATATGAATTAATGAAAATCTATTGTTAATTATATGCAATAGAGATTATAAAAAATTATATCTTCCATTAAATTAAAATTATGTAAAATATTATTTCGCGTATTTAAATTTATGTTATTTGAAAAATATTCTATAAAACCATCATTATTTCAAATAAATAAAAATAATTCATAAAAATTATGAGAAATAAATATTATATTTTTAACGATTGTATTTAAAAATTAAAATATTAAAAATTGTAATAATGTTGTCATTAAATTATAGCCACTCACCTTAAGAGTAATTGGTGTTTATAAATTTTAAAATTCTAAATAACAATTATAATTGTATAAAGTAGAATTTGGGGGAAGTCATGCGCCCCTAATTTTTAACCACAAAAATAGAAACAACACTTTAAAACATATCTGTCATCAAAACATTAATTATATAGAAAAACAAAAGACGACACTTTTTGTTCACGGAATAGCAAATTATTATTATGTATTATTAACTATAATAATCCTATTAAATAATTCATTCTTTCATTCTGTCCACACCTGAAGTTAGTCTTTGTGTATTCTTTTGTTTTTTTTTCTTTAAAAAAAAATTGTTTTGACAAATCGACAATATGCAGGTATTTTTTCAGGCTGCGTCTACAATAGGAAAAAATAATGTGTAATTTGTAGTGTAATGTGTATTGTTTTTGGCATTGACAACTGTCAGGGGCAATTACACTATACTATATTACACAATTTTCTACACATTATTTTTTCTGTTGTAGACGCAGCCTCATGATTCATAATAAAATAATATTAGAAATTAGAAAATTAAAAAAAAAATTATGATTAACAAATTAAAAATTTACCCATTTTGTTTATTATATTTATGCTTTTTTTTATAATAAATTTCGTTTGACTGATCTAAATTATGCAAATTTTTCTCTTGTTAATTTATAAAAAATAGAAAATTTGTTAAAAAATTATGATTAAGAAATACTTAGTAAATAAATACACATTTTATGCATAATTTTTATTTCTCAATAACAATATTGTTCACAAACTCATTCTTTTATTTCGGGAAAAAAAACATTACACATTCCCGTTTCTTAATATTTTTGTAGAAAATTTTCAATTTTCATAAGCGAATAATTTATATTATTTCAATTTTTTAATTACAATTGTTTTAATAAAATTCAAAGTTTTTTAAAAAAAATAAACGAAACAAATGTTTATAAATTCTATTTGTCAATTACAAATATTCATTGAAAATGAAAGTTTTGGAATATTTCGAAAATAAAGGAAAAAATTTTAATCAAAAAAAATGTTCCTTTACATTTTTACGAATTTCTTTAATTGTAAAATTATTCGAAAACATCAATAATTTCTTTTTTAAATAAATATTTAATTATTATTATTTTTCCACAGGAATTAAGACATTTAAAAATTCCAAATTCAAACCTTTTTGAAATTAAACAACTTATAAAAGTATTTTGCTATATAAAACATAAAGATATTGATTGCTCCGAGTCGAAGACTCGGAGTGATCGATTTCTTTATGTTTTATAATAATTTATAATAATTAAAAATTTATGAAAATAATTGAATTATTGCGAAGAAATTTATAAAAAATTCTAAATAATTGAATTCTTGTTTAATTTTAAATATTTTTGACAATAATTAAATAAATGTTTCTGGACGATTTTATTGAATTTTTTTTTAAATAATTGAATTTTTCACGGAAAATTTTATTAAAATAGTAGATATTAAAAATAATTTAAATTAGGACAAGAATTTTATTGTCATTTTTGAAAATAATTGAACTTTGGGAAACAATTTTGTTATTTACAAAGATAATTGGGATTTTGACGAGAATTTTTTTTTATGAGAAGAATTTTATTATTTTTGAAAATAATTGAATTTCTGCAATAAATTATTTGCAATTTCTCCAAAATTAAATTATTTTAGTGTTTTCAACAAAAATTTGAATTTAAAATTTTTAAATTCTATTATTTTTAAAATTAATAATTTTATTTAAGAAATGAAGTAAAAAATTAGCCGCGCGCTAAAGCGCGCGAATTGTTGCTAGTAATTATATAATTGAAGCGTTTTGTGCAGAAACAGCATAAGTACATAATTCGAAATTGTTCAGGAATCAAAAACTGTTTTTTTCGTAAATGTTAAGATTTTTTTTAATTCGGCTTCTTGCATTATATTCTACTAACCTATAAGTTAAAAAATCCAATATGATTAATTAATTATCTACTTAATATAAAAAATTAAAAAATATATTAACATTTGGACTTATGCTGTTTGTGCACAAAATGAAATGAAAAACACAGAAAATTTATTAAATCCAGTGAAATATCAAAGTTTTATGAAATATTTAATAACATTTATTTAAAATATTAAATTTGGATAATTTTTAGTAACATTTTATAAATAATAAAATTGTGTTAAGAATAAATTTAACCAATTTTCAATATTTTCTAATTTTAAAATATTTCAGTCACGACTGTCACTTTTTGCTTCCCATGAGTGTTTTTATTTATAATATAAACTGTTTAATATAAATTATTAAAATACGTCAAGAATATCACAAATAAATATAAAACTTATCATGGACTTGTGCTGTTTCTGCACAAAATGATATTTTAATTATTATTTTTAAGGGTTTAGAGTTTAGTCACTTATGTAATATTTTACCAGATTGAAAAGCTTCATTTAAAGATAAATTTTCAATAAAAAAGTGATTTTCGAAAAAAATGGACTTATGCGGTTTCTGCACAAAACGCTTCAATTAGTATAAATTTATTAATAATTATTTCCCTTTCAAGATCATTATTATAATAAAAATTATTTACAACGAAGGATGTAAATTTAAGTTAAATTACTAAATAGGTACGTGAATGTAAATTATTAATATTTTTGTAGGTTTCTGCTTTGAATTCAACTGTAACAAAGGTTAATAATCCTATTCGTTTTGAAAGTTTGCGACATTTTGGAGTAACTTCCGGGCTTTCGTCATGTTATCCACAAATTCAAAAGCCGGCACCACAGTTTGAAGGAACAGCTGTAGTAAATAAGGATTTTAAAGATATAAAACTGAGTGACTACAAGGGAAAATATGTGGTACTCTTCTTCTATCCTTTGGACTTGTAAGTATATTCAAAAATTATATTTTTCCAACATTTATAGAAAAAAAGAACAAGAGAGCAATTTGAAAAATGATGAAAGAATATTTGCCATTTTCAGTATTAAACTGAAATTCGTGTTTCGGAATGTAAATGATTGTCTTTGACCCTATCTTCATCTCACTTCACAAGGTATTATTTCGTTAATTAATTTACAACAAATTTTGCAATATATTTGACTAAATATCTTAATTATTACTTGTATTTTAAGTATCTTTTTACAAATATCTAGTCTTTTGTCGAATTTTTTCTCAAATGAAAAATTTTTTAAGAGAAAAATGTTTGAGGTAGGATTGCCAACAAATTCGTTTACACATGAAATTAAATCTTATTTTTTTCTTTTATTCGATATTTACATTATCTAATTATTCGAATTATAAATTTCAACATTTTGGAAAAAATATATCAAAAGGAATATTAAAAATGATAACAAGATAATTTATTTCATTGAACAATATTTACAATAAATGTTAAAATTAATTGTTATTCATTAAAGTTCAATATTGAATTTCAATTTTCGCTGTTCGTCTTTTAAGTACTACTTCTGCGCATGCGCAACTTTCTTGACGTCATTTCTCGTAGATTGTACACATCCTGTTTTGTTCGAATCTTCGAATATGAAGAAAGTTACTTCTAATTTACTTTTTATAATTTTTAAAAATAAAATAATAGATGTGAAGTGCATAAATCTTGTTTAAATGATGATTGTTATTGACTTTCCTACTTCATCGCAATTTCGCAAGGTATTATTGTGTTAATTTATTGTAAATTTTCAATCTATTTCACTACATATCTTTATTGTTGATTGTATTTCAAGCATTTTTTTAGAAATATTTTGTCTGTTTAGTATTTTTTCTCAAAATAATCATATTTTTAACGAGGAAAAATTTTGAGGTTAGGTTGTCAACAATTGCGTGCCCGGAATGCATTTGTTTTTGTTTATTTTGATTAACACTTCAAATAACTATTAATTTTCTGTTTGTAAGACAGTGATAAAAATAGTTTTTATTTTCTAATATATTTGTTATAATGGTTTTTATTTTAATTGACTAAATTTATCTTGACTTTGTATTATTTTGTTTAATTTTTCTCACTTGTCACTTCTTTTTGGAAAAATCATATATATAGAAAAAGAAATCTCTATTTTTTGCTGTTGTCTCGCTAAAAATATAACTTTCATTAAAGTGAAATTCGATTGTTTTAAATTGTCTGAACATTTTTCTTTAATTAAACAGGATTGTAGGACACATTTCCCAATCCATTTTTCCCAATCCATTATTCCCACTCCAACCTTCCCGGCGGACATATTTTCTCGAAACTTTGTCAAAATGTTACTATTATTAGTAGAAGTGTAAAATCACAATTCACATTTTTAATTTGATTACTTTTACTTATCAATATATTCAATCGAAAAAAAGATATTTTCAAAAAAGTCAAAATTTTGAAACTCCGTAACTCCAAAAATATTTTATCAAATTCAATAATAATTCATATACATCACTTCTACTAATAATAGTAACATTTTGACAAAGTTTCGAGAATATGAAAACAATAGATTGGAAAAAGTATACTTTTGGTAAACAATACTTTGGGAAAATTATAATAGGTTGGGAAAAGTTGATTATGGGAAAAAGAAAGATTGGGAATTTAACTATTGGGAAAAATGGATTAGGAAATGTGTCCACCAACGCAGAAATTCAATTATTTTCAAGAATTTCCTCAATTCAATGAGTTTCAACATCTACTATTTTAATAAAATTTTGTAATTAGAATCCAATTATTTTTAAAAGAATGTAGACAAAATTCTAAGCAAACTTCATACATAATAAAAATTTCACAGGAAATCAATTATTTTCATAAGTAATAAAATTTCTTACACAGATTCAATTATTTTCATGAATAAAAAATTCACAAAATTTCAATTATTTTTAATACAGTTTAATCGAATTTCTCGATAAATGTAATTCTTGAAAATTTTATTAGAATTCGTCGAAAAAATTCAATTATTTAAAAATTTGTTGATAAAATTAATTTTGTAAAATTGAATATTGTAAACAAATGGATTTGAAAATTCTCAAGGAACTTTTGCAAAAATTATTAAAAATAATTGATAATTGAATTCTGTTGATGAATTTTAATAAATTTTTTGAAAATAATTACATTTTTCGAAGAATTTTCTTCAAATTGTGTTAAAAATAATTGAAATTATGTGAAGAATTTTATTATTCAGGAGAATAATTGAATTCTTGCGAACGTATTTTTATGACATTTTTTTAAATAATTGAGATTTTGTGAAGAGTTTTATTATTTATGAATGTAATTGAAATCTTGCAACGAATTTTATTATACTTTTGTTAAATAATTGAAATCCTGTAAAGAATTTGATTATTTATGAAAATAATTGAATTATTTTGAGAAATTTTATTAAAATAGTAGATTTTGAAAATATTTTAATTTCAGCGAAGAATTTCATTATTTGTGAAATGTAATTGAATTCTTCAAAAAAATTTTGAAAATAATTACATTTTTCGAAGAATTCATTTAAAATTGTATTAAAAATAATTGAAATCAATTTTTATTATTTATGAAAATAATTGAATTCTTACAATGAATTTTATTACATTTTTAAAAATAATTTAATTAATGTGAACAATGTTATTATAGGTACTTGTAAAAATAATTAAATTCCTCCGAAAAATTTTATTAAATTTTTTGTAAATAATTTAATTTCTTTGAAAATTTTTATAATAATATTCTTATAAGCTGTTGAATATCATAAAGGTTTGAATTTGAAATTTTTGCAAATCTTAATTCCTATGGAAAAATAATAATAATTAAATATTTATTTTAAATAAAACTATTGATGTTTTCGAATAGTTTTACAATTAAATAAATTTGTAAATAAAAAAATAGAAAATTTTGTTGAGTATCTAATCATTTTTAGAGTGAATGAGAATATTCTTTAGGGTCAGGGAAAAACAAAATTAATTTTTTGTGGCAGTTAGTACATTTGTCTGTTCGTAAAAATACAAAAATTATTTCTTTCTTTTTGCAGCACATTCGTCTGTCCAACTGAACTTATCGCCTTCAGTGAAAAAATTAAGGAATTTCACTCGTTGCAGACAGAAGTAATTGGTGTCTCAACTGATTCACAATACAGTCATCTCGCCTGGATAAATACACCAAAGAAATTAGGTGGTCTCGGTGGTGATTTGGGCTATCCTTTATTAAGTGATTTTAATAAGAAAATATCAACCGATTACAATGTTCTCGTTGAAAATGCCGGTATTGCATTTAGAGGACTTTTTGTTATTGACAGAGAAGGAATTTTAAGACAATTAACTGTTAATGATCTTCCAATTGGAAGAAATATTGACGAGACATTAAGAGTAATTAGAGCCCTTCAATTTGTTGAGAAACACGGAGAAGTTTGTCCAGCTAATTGGCAACCAGATTCAAAAACAATTAAACCCAATCCAAAAGACAGTAAAGAGTACTTCGAGTCTGTAAACTAGAACAATTTTTCATGTCCACGCAAATGTTGTCAAATTCCATTATTAGACTTTGACATTTTTCTTTCCGGTAAGTGCTGCATTTTAAAATTTACGAAAATTTATTGTTTAACAAACATTTGATGTATATATTTTTGACAAAAAAAAAAAAAAAATATAAGAAAAAAAATGCAAAATTTTATTTCAACTATTTGCGTTTCTTTTTGCAAGAATGTTGAGAATGATTTTGTATATGACTATAATTGAGATGAAAACTGTAAAAATGAAACTATATAATTTTTTAAGTAATTTTTAATAGTCGAATTAAATTATATTTTATTAATCTTGCTTCAGGGTTGCCACAGGTCAGGGGGAAATAGGGGAAATGTTAGGAAATTTTATCAAAAGTACTCGAAAAATAGAAAAGATTATACTCCTCGGATAGTACGATTTTTTTCAACTACTTTAAAAAAAGGCGCCTTTTTTCGAATTATTTTCTAAAAATGCAACTTTATCAACTTTTTTTTTAAATATGGTAAAAAAATACCACATTTTTAGTATAAAATGCAACTTATTTCGATTTTCATAGTTTAAAAAATATGTATACTCACATCTTTCAAAACTTATTTTTGAATAATTTTTGTAAAATAATTAAATTTTCGAAATATATAATTAAAAAGTTTTTAAATAATTGAGATTTTGTAAAATTTGAATGAAAATAATTCATTTCTTTAAAGTATTTCATTAAAATTTTTGAAAATCAAATTTTGAAAAAGTTTAATTGGAAATTTTGAATATAATAGAATTCTCAAAAATTTTAATGAAAAATCTTCAAATGAAAATTTGAAAATGAAAATTAATAGAAATTAACTTCAAAAATTTTAATTAAAATATGTAGTTTTAAAAAACGAATTCTTCGAATTTTTCTATTATAATTTTTTAAAATTCAATTTTTGAGAATTATTATTAAAATTTTGTAAAAAAACAATTATTTTAAAATTGAGGCTCCGGATCTTAAAAGGGCACACGCGCGAACACACGGCAAATAATTTGGCACCTGGAGATAAAATTTTGAAGTTGTTCAAAATGAATTTTAAATTATTGTTTCTTATACAGAATTTCAAGGCGAAACTTTTTTTCTAATAAAAATTTTTTATATAATTTCTCGTTTTCACGTAAATTGAAAAAAACGTGATTTTTTAAGTTAAGAAATTTTAATGAATTTTTGACTTCAACTCGTGACTACTTCGTTAAATATTAATATTTTTCCACGAAATTTACACACAATATTCTTCAAACTATTCCAAGAGTGAAACAATATTTGGAAATTTAAAAAAAAATTATATGTCAAAGTAAATAATTATTTAAATAATTTTGTCGGAAAAATGATTCTCCTATTTTCAATTGAAAAAGTTGAGTGACGAATTTTCGTTTTCGGAAAACTTTCAGCGACAAAAATGTTCATTAATATGTTAGGAAGTTTTTTGGAAAATATCTCGCCATTTGATAATAAATTAAAGACAATAGAGCAATTTTAACATCGTCGCGCTCTGCTGTAAAATTGCGGCGTGGCGGCACACGTGTAGCATGGCCGCCATATATAGTTAGACATTGTTTACGTTTACAGCAGAGCGCGACGATGTTAAAATTGCTCTATTGTCTTTAATTTATTATCAAATGGCGAGATATTTTCCAAAAAACTTCCTAACATATTAATAAACATTTTTGTCGCTGAAAGTTTTCCGAAAACAAAAATTCGTCACTCAACTTTTTCAATTGAAAATAGGAGAATCATTTTTCCGAAAAAATTATTTAAATAATTATTTACTTTGACATACAATTTTTTTTTAAATTTCCAAATATTGTTTCACTCTCGGAATAGTTTGAAGAATATTGTGTGTAAATTTCGTGGAAAAATATTAATATTTAACGAAGTAGTGACGAGTTGAAGTCAAAAATTCATTAAAATTTCTTAACTCAAAAAATCACGTTTTTTTCAATTTACGTGAAAACGAGAAATTATATAAAAAATTTTTATTAGAAAAAGGTTTCGCCTTGAAATTCTGTACAAGAAACAATAATTTAAAATTCATTTTGAACAACTTCAAAATTTTATCTCCAGGGGCCAACTTATTTGCCGTGTGCTCGCGCGTGTGCCCTTTTAAGATCCGGAGCCTCAATTATTAATTAAAATTCTTCAAAAAATTGATTAGTTTTTTAAATTGTCCAAATATTCTTTTAATAAATTCAATTGAATCTTTTTATCATAATTTTTGTTAAAATTTAATTTTTCTGTTAAATTTTTTACTAAATTTTAAATGTTTGTAAATTCTTCAATTATCCTGTATAATTGGAAAATCTACATATTAACTTTCAAAAATTATTTTAAAATATTTTTAAACAACTAATTGCAACAATTATTTTAGTAAAATTTGTTAAAAATCAATTATTGTCAAATTTTTCGATTACAAATTTCCAATAATTCACCTTTTTTAATTTGAAATTTGAATTTGAAACAACTTTTCAATTAAAATCATTCAATGATTATAAATAATTTAATTTTTGTATTCAAATAATTTAATTCTTGAACATTCGGATAACTATTAAAAATAATTGTTTTAGAGAAGAACTTTAGTTAAAAAAAATATTTTAGAAAATAATTAAATTTTGTCGGAGTTACAGTTGTAAATTTTAAAATTAATTAAATTTCAGAAGGGTTGAATTTTAAATTAAAAAAATTTTATTTATTCAAGTTTTGAATTTTCAAATGAACGAAATATTTTCATAGATTACTGACTACAATAAAGATTAAAAACTCAAATTTTACATTCAGAAACTTTATAATTAATTTGTTTGACAGTGATGCAAGAATCATATTTTTTTGACTTTTTTTAAATCTAAACGACTTTTTTTGTGCCTTATAGTCGATCCAAGACCACTGAAAAAAAATTTATTTGATTCAAATAACAAGTATTCACTTGTCTATTATCAAATAAATATTTACTTGAATCAAATAATTTTCAGTTAAATTAAATACATTGTATTTGAACCAGGGAAAAAATTAAAATTCTATTTGGAAGTCAGAGAAAAACAAAATCAAATTTTTGTGGCAATCCTGTTGCTTAAAAATTTTCAAATGTAAAATTTTTTCCATTTTCATCAAAGAATTCATGAATGAACGTTAAATTGCCGAAATTATGTTTATTTAAAAATTGAATCGTCTACTTTTAAAATTCTGTGCAAATAATTACGTTTTTATAAATTGAATTGCTATTTTTTACATCGGCCTATACTCTTTAAATTTGAATTAGTAACGTATTTACTAAAATTTGAATTAGTAACTTTTGCTAATAAATAGTGATTTCTACTAGTTGATTAGTAAAATGTACTAATTTAAAAGCAAGAAGTCAGTCACTAATTCAAATTAGCAAGTATTTTTACTAATTAAAATTTAGAGAGTAACGAAAAAATTGAATTGAAAACTATTAGAAACTATTAAAAACCGGAAGAGCGTTTGATACTTCCGCGAGTGTATATACATAGTATATATATAAGTATATGTAAGGCACGTGTGTAGTTTAGATGTAAGGCGTACGTTTCATACTTGCGGAGTTTTCCCGCAGGATTGAGGGTTGGGTCTTTGCGCGCTGGTTCAATCAGTCGCAAAGGGCACAAGGGTTTGTCGAACTTGAATGGAAAGAAAGAAGGGTGATCAAAAGCAAACGAGAAAGCGAGACAGAGTTAGAGCAATCTCGCGTTGGTTGATTTGATTCTTTGTGACGATGGGAGCAATAGCGGATTCAGTCATCGAAAGACTGTTCGTAGGATTATCCTCTTTTCTCCATCTTCAGTCACTGATCATGTCGCATTTTATAACAAAACAGACACGAAAAAAAGAGGAAGGAGAAGAAAAAAATGATTTGTGGTCTCCTCTATCGTTTAACAATAAACCTCTCTCTTAAAGTTTCTCTCGTTGGTGAAAATTAAAATTTTTATTTACAAGACAAATTATTGTCAATGCGGGACTTGTATTTATTATTACTTGCACATTTGCATTGAAATATTTGAATACTACGGATTGGAGTAATTAGCATAAATAATTGAATAATGTAAAAAAATAATTTTAGTTTCTGTTCCTTTCAGTTTTCTATAATTATCAAAAAAAAAGGAGCGGTCGAATAATTAGTGACGGTGCTACAAAAAACCTCCTGTGGGCGTATTAGAAGCATTATTTATTTCCTAAAACTCGTTAGTTCGAATTTCTAGTTAACCAAATTTTATACGGTTTAATTTTTATTGAGCTATATTTTTCTTTAGTCAAATTTTCTTTGAGGCAAATTCTTTTTTAGTCAAATTTTTATTTAGCCAAATTTTATAAAGTAGAAGTTTTTCTTTAAGCAAAATTTTAATCAACAGAATTACTAATAAGACGAATTTTTATTTATCAAAATATCTACGCTGAAAAATAAATTTATTTGATCTGAATAAACGATTATTTGTTTATTGTTAAATATTTACTTGAATGAAATAAACAATTATTTGTCCATTATCGAATAAATATTTACTTGAATCAAAAAATTTTTATTGATATCAAATAAATTGTATTTGAACTAATAATTTCAAGGAAACAAAAAGGCTGCCTTTGTCCCCTTGTTTCTTAATATACTATTTTTAGAGTAACTGATTTCTTTACAGTTTGTCTTTAGGTCTAAATTTGTTAAAAATAGCTGACTGTTAATGCCCATTTCTATTAAAAAACATTAACTAACTTTGTAAAAGTCAAACAAATTTTTAGTTCAAAATAATAATCAAAAAAATGAATTGAACAATTTTATATATTTAACTAAATGATTAGTAGAACTTATTATTATATTTATTTTTATAATGAAAAAATATTTATTGCATTTGAATAACCGATTACATGTTCATTTGCAAATAAATATTTAATTGAATCCAAACATTTTTATTTAACTCAAATAATTTATAATCGATTCAGTAATTTCAGTACTTGAAGTAAATACAATTTAATTAACTCAAATAAAAATTATTCGATACAAATAAATATATTCATTTGATATAATAGACAAGTAATCGTTTATTTGCGTCAAATAAAAATTTCTTTATGAGTAGACTTTAGAATGACTTTGAATCTCTGTAAATCCGAATTAGTTTTATAAAATCGTGGCTGACTTTTTGCTTCGGCAAATA